GGTGCCAGACCATGTTCTTTTCTGTGTTGTGTACCTTCTGGACATAATCGATCATGACTCTCCACAACGTCCTATGCTTCATAGCTCTATGTAATGATTGTCACATTATTTTAACAGTAAATAAAATTAATTGTTTTTTGTGGGGGCTCCATGTGTTAAATTCTGTTTGTTTGAGAGTCAAAGAAGGAGATTTAAAAATACGCAACAAAAATTATTTTCAAATTTCCTTTCTAACTAGAGAACAATTCTACATTTTACTTTACCATAACCTGACTAAATTTAAAAAAATTAATTATGTTTCTCTTAATTAAGTTTAAATTAGGAAGAATCTTCATATTAAGATTTTTATAGAATAAAAAATATTATATTTTGAACATAAATAATTTAAAACTCATAAAATAATATTTTAGGAAAAAGCATTATTTTATAACTTAAAAAATCAGTTAATATTTAAATTAGCTAATTAAATTTGTGTAAAATTAGTTATTAACAAGAAAACGTTTTCAGTTAATTTCTCCAGGAAAACCATTTTTTTTTAAATTTTATTTTTTTAACATTTGAACTAAAGTATTTTTTTCTCCTGTAAATGATTAAATTCAATTCAGTCATTTTTTTTTTTCTTCACCAAATGACGTCCGTGGGTTTGGCTGCCAAGGGACGTAACTCGTCTTTATTCAGATTTCTGAAAGAAAGAAAGTTCGATCGACAATGGCTAACACGGTGAAGAAGAACACTGAGGAAGGAGAAACGGGGAAACTCTCCGATATTTTTTCAAAGATTTGGTCAAATTACGAATTCTTAGAATCAACAGACCTCGCTTCTACAGATGCTGAATATCAGGTAATATTGAACCTTAATTATTCTTTTTTGGTTCTAATTACATTTCTTTTTCGTTTGTCATGCATTTTATTTTTAAGTCGTATTTTTAATTTGTTCCTTCTTCTTAGATGTATTTTTTTTAAATATAAAACTCACTTTAATTGTTTATTATCCTTGCAGAAAAATAAAATATGAATTAGTCAAGATTTTTTTTTACATTTTGGGCTTTTAAAGCTCAACCAAATCCAAAAATATTGTTTTTGGCAAAAAATTCAAATTGTCTTTTTCAACCTCTGTCCTTTTTTTGTTTTTGTCATCGAAATTCTTCAAAATGGTTTTTCATCTCGTGATTTATTTCGTGAAATTCATGTTGGCTTAAAATATAATTTCTTTGTTTTCCTTCATTATCCTCTTTCTAAAAAATGTTTTCACTAAAAAGCAAACGTGAATATTGTTTAATTTATTATTTATATAAGTGTTTTTCTTTACGAAAATTACAACTTTACAAGTATTATTTTTAATTAAAAACAAACCAAAAAATATAAGTAAAAATTATCATTAAACTTTAACTTAACCTATCATCAACAAAAAGCACCATTTTCTTTATTAGTTTTAATAAAAAAAAATATCTTTAATGGTTAACTTAAAGCAATAGAATGAAAATTGATTGAAAATGATTGTTTATTTATGTCTACGGATGATCAGTGTTGCCAAATATTCTGTTGATTAGGCAGAATATAATTAATTTTTAGTGATAACTTTACTTTGTTTTCATACGATTTCATTTAAGAAGGTATTTCATTTAACTGCACAAATTTATTTTCTATTATTTTAACGTCCTAAACAGTTTTTTTTTTCTGCAAATCAAACACTGAATTGCTTCCCTTACATTTCCATTCTATTTGTTTAATTAACAAACTTATTCTTTAAAATTTGGAAATAAGACATGGTTAGATTTTGACAAAAAAACAACAACAACAACAACAAAAAAAAAAAAAAAAAAAATCACTGGTACATATAGTCCCCCAAAGTTATTTTCGGAAAACCATATTATCAGTGATTTTTTTTTTCTAGGGAGATTAATTAATTGTTATTATAGTTGAAATAAAATAAATAAATATTGCAATTAATTTGGATGTTGTTTTTTTATTTTGTCTTGTGTAATTTTTTCTTTTCAAATTCAAAGGTAGGCTCAGAAATAGTAATTTTCCAAGCGTAGCTTAGATGTGCACAAGGCCCTAAAGTAGGGGTCACCCAGTGAGGATCAAACTCACTACTCAGTCGTAATTGTTCTATACGAGACAAGCTTGCTAAGGTAGGCTCAGAATATGATGCAAGTTAAATATGTGTAAAAAGAGAGATTCAGTTTTTCTTATGTGAAAATTTGCTAAATTTGCAGATAATTTAAAAAAAATGCACCCTTCCAGCTGTAAAAAGCCTGTTTGTTACAAAAATAGCAATAAAAATTGAGGAAACTCTACTGTTTAGGACAAGTGTCAGCAAACTTTTGCTAACTATGTGCCGACTTAGGGTTTTTTTAAAATCATTCAGCGTGTCAGCAGCATATGTATTTTTATATGTCTAGGTCAATATACCTGTTCTACAATATATTTTATATAGTAATATATATACTTTACTATATATTAAAATTGAAACGGCTAAACGTCTTTTGTGTTGTAGTAGTTATTGGTTTGGACTTTGTGATATAATTTGTGGCTGCATGCCATTGGAAATTGCTTGGTGTCTCGTGCGTGCCATAGGTTGCAACCCTTAGGTAAGGTACCGCGTACAGCTTGGCCACCTCAGTCAGGAATCTGTGAAGGCTCTCGGTATGGTGAGGGATTGGCTTCATGAATGAAATTGAGTAACATATTGCTTCAACTGTGGTTAATCTGATGGTGTGTATAGCCATAGTCTGGTAATCACATGTACACCGACCAGCAGTCGTACCTGGGGACCCAACTAAGATTGGCAATATCTCCTAAACAGTAGAGTTTCCTTAATTTTTACTGCTATTTTTGTAATAATCAGGCTTTTTTACACCAGGAATAATACATTTTTTTTAATTGGTCACTGGAGTGTTATCTGCAAATTTACAGAACTTTCTTTAGAAAGTTAAAATCACTAATATTCCCAATTATTATTAGAGAACATTACAACCCTGCTCACCTTAAATGTCATCGGGATATTTGGTTTGGTGCTCTTTTGTCTTTTTTTGGAGTTCCACCCAAGAATAAGAATATAGCTAAAACTAATTTTCTTCGACGTGCCGCATCCCTTCAGGACATGGCTGATCATGGCTCTCCAAAACTTCCTATCCCTTGTTGCCCTTAGCAGTTTTTCTTCCTTTGTTAAGCCTCTCCACCAATGTTCGACTATCCATTCATGCAGGTTGGTCTGGTAGGAGGCATGTTTGCCTTCCTTTTGCACTCAATATGCTCTGTGAGGGTTTAGTTTTCCAAGCCCACCTTCCTCAATATATGTCCAAGTTGTTCCTTTCTGATTCTGAATGTGTTTTTTTGCTGTAATTTTCGTAAACACTTTCTCGTTTCAGCCATAGAATTCTCAGTATCCTTCTGTAGAACTACATTTCTGTTGTCTCCAGTTTTCTTCTTATCTGTGGGGAGATTGTCCAGCATTCACTGCCATATAAGAGGATGGATACCACATAGCAATCCAGCACTCTTCTCTTTGTTTCTAACAAAATGTTTCTGTTTCTCAATACTTTTGCTTAGCTTTTGAAAACCCTCTTCTGGTAGTTGATTGCATGTTCAGATTTAAGTGCTATATTTTCCATTCTCTGTTAAAACTTCTGTATTTGCTTGGTGTTGACATTGACAATTTGTAACTCACATCTTGATTTTTTTTTTTTCTCTCTTGCCGATAACCATACTTTCTGTCTTCAACCCAATAACACCTTGTCTTCAAATTTTGTGACTGCTGTTGTGTTTGTTTGTGGTTTCATTTTCAGTTTGTCAATGTCTGAGAAGTCCTTTTTTTAATTCCAAGTGCCTAGATATGGTTGATGATGTTAGTTATCAATGAGGATAATAAAAGTTTTAATGAGTCAAAAAAAAAAAGTCTGGTGCAAGAAATGGCTTGTTAATTTTCAGACCTCCAAGACAAAGTTGCTCTCTGTTAATCATCTTAAAGAACATTTTTTTTACTGTTTTGCTGATGCTAACTTCCAGGAGTGTAACTCATTGCAAATTCTGTTGCCCATTTTCCACTAACATGAAGAGGAATGATTATATTGAGTCAATTGTTAGTTCTGCTTCTCAGAAAGTCTATTTGCTACGTTGTCCTAAACAATTTTTCTCACCAGAATTTATCTGATACAGGGTGCGATGGATAAATTGTCATCTAAATTATTCAAAAATGAAAATAACACTGACATTTCATTTTAACAGATATATTTACCAAAATTACACAAAAATGTCTTGAAATAATAAAGAGTAAATTTATTCAATTAAATTGCCATTGGCTTGAATCACAGCCTCCAGATGGATTCAGAATCTCCTGCATCTCTTCTGGATGGCCTCCTTGTTTCAGTTGGTGAATGCTGCCGTAATCCTTGCCTTCAGTTCATCTTTGGTGTTACAAGGAGTTTTGTTGGTCTTTCATTCAACTGCACCCCATACATAATAATCAAGGGAGTTGCAGTCTGGGAAATTAGGTGGCCTGATGTAAGGGGTGATGTGGCTGCAGAAATTGTCTGACAGCTATGACTGGGTTCTTCCGCTTGTGTGGCATGGTGCAGAATCCTGTTTCCAGACTTAGGGTCTTCTAGCAGCTACCTCTTGTCCCAAGGGAGCACTACCTCCTCAAGGTACTTTATGTAGACCTCTGTGTTGAGTCTGAGACCTTCACCAACAAATTCAGAAGTATTTTTCTTATCAGAATGATCGGAGTTAGTTTTCTGAGCTGCCAGTGAGAAACACAACTGCGAGACAACGAGGAGCTTGTGTGTCCGAAGACGGAAACGCGATGGAGAGACAACGAGGAGCTCGTCTGTCCGAAGACGGAAACGCGATGGAGAGACAACGAGGAGCTCGTCTGTCCGAAGACGGAAACGCGATGGAGAGACAACGAGGAGCTCGTCTGTCCGAAGGAAACGGAAACAACGAGAGCTGATCTGGAGAGACAAGACAAGAGCTCGTTGTCCCAAGACGGAAACGCTGATGGAGAGACAACGAGGAGCTCTTCTGTCCAAGACGGAAACGCTGGCGGAGAGACAACGAGAGCTGCCGTCTGTCCGGAAGACAACGAAACGCTGGCGGAGAGACAACGAGGAGCTCGTCTGTCCGAAGACAGAACTACAATTGACAGTGCTGATAAACTTTATTCTGAATAGAAATTGTCTAAGTGGTTGAATTCATTTTGATAAACAGGTTTGACAAGCTTCCTGTTACTTATTGGAATCTACCGAGTTGGTTGAAGGTAGAACAGTTAATTACATGACGAAGTTCTAATCCTGGTTAAGGCAGTTCGTATTTATTATAATTCCATTGACAATGATATATGAAGACTTTGAGCATAAAGATTTGAAGAATCTGATTAGAGAAAAAGAACAAACAAATCTTTTTGTTGTACATGACCACTATATATATATGTCAATTGCCAAATCGAATGATTTAAAATCCAACAACTTCAAACGGCTCTGATGTAGGTAAAACAATCAGGGAAATCAACACTCTCTTGAGTCTGGACATTGGAGGTGATAAGGTAATCTAATTTAATTTGATTTATGGTCACCACTTATCCTCAAGGTATTTTTTCCTAATATACAGTTTTGTCTTTCTTTTATTCTAACTTGAAGAAGCCAAAGAAAGCAGACGCTCTTGGCAAAACAAGTTGTTAATAAATTTTTCCACTTTGTCTCATCTTTATTTTTGTTTGGGATCCTATTCTACGTCCCACAAAAACACATGTAGGTCAATGTATTTAATTAGTTTAATTATTAGTTTGCTTCTATTGCTAGTTAATTCCCAGCTTGTAAACAGTGAAAATAAAGGAAACAGTAACAAATTTGACTTCAATCTGTAATTGGTAGTTAAAGCAGATATAATTTAGCTTCGACTTTTGTTTATGTGTGTTAAATACCTTGTTTGTTGTAAATGTTTTTCAAAAAAAAAAAAAAATGTATATATTTCATACTACTGTCTACTGCAGGAAGACTATTCAACAGGTATTTTTGTTTGTCCGTGTCAAAGTTGACAATGGGAGTAACAGCTTTTTGATTTTAGTATCTGGGTAGGTATGACCTTTTGCTTAAGTGCTCAGTCTTTTTACTCTCCATCATTGTGGCATGCCAGTGACAAGATATCTGGGAAAAGTTGGTTGGTCATTTTCATGAAGAAAATAGTATAGATAAAATGAGTTTAAAAGGTTTCTCATTTTCTTTTCTGGTAAACTTGTCACCAAACGTCATATTTAACATGTTGCTGCTTTCTTTGAGATGTGTCCCTTCAGGACATGGGCGATCATAACTCTCCACAACTTCCTATCTTCTCTAGTTCTTGGTAATGTTTGTCTTTGCATTAACCATTCCATTCCCTGTTCTGTTTTCCATTTACACAAACTTGTTAGGTAGGTTACTCACTGTTTCTTTCTATCATCATGATCAGGTGGATCATGATTCTCCACAACTTCCTATCCATTGTAGCTCATTGTAATGTTTGTCTTTTTACTATCCTTCCTACTCCCTGTTCTGCCATTTATTTGCTTAAGCTTGTTTGGTAAGTTAGTTGCTGTTTCCTTTCATCTCTTCAGGATGAGTTGGATCATGGTTCTCCACAACTTCCTACTGTTTGTAGCTCTAGGTTTGTCTTTTCACCATCCTTTTCAGTCCTCGTTCTGCCATCCATTTACACATTTGTTAGGTAGGTTAGATGCTGTTTCTTTCCGTCTGTTAAGGATGAGAGGATCATGGGTCTCCACAGTTTCCTATCCATTGTACTTCTCATGTGTTTAATGTCTGCTTCAGTGAGCTGAAAAACCTGGTTAATTTTGAATTTTTTATTTGTATCCTCTTCTTTAAATAATGACCTACAGTCATGCTTACATTTGCTATTACAATATTAGAGTTGTTAAGCTGAAATATTTAACGATGCAGTAGAGAAATTTCCACAGTTATTTTAGAGTCACAGAACTCACAAGGAATGCTAGCTTAAGTATTATAATTTGTTAGAAATTTCAAATAGGAAAACCATGAAATTTTTACAGGTGCTAATTAATAACTATAATAATAATAATTTATGTGCGCTGTCTGTTCAAGATCTGGGCAATTATGGCACTCTACAACTTCCTATCCTTTGTAGCTCGTAGCAACATTTGTCTTTTTGTTATCCCCCCCCCCATTCTGCTCTTGGAAAGATATTAGATAAACTCATAATTACAGAACTGAAAGTGAGTTAGATGTAATTTAATATTTCTATTCTTTCATACTTAAAATTACTTGAGAAGGTCCAGACATTGACACATTTAAACGATTTAATTTTAAGTATGAAAGAATAGAAATATTAAATTACATCTAACTCATTCATGTCTTCTCTCTCCCCGCTCACTTCACATATGTTTAATACGGCCCGTCAAAAATGTGTAAATTTCATTTTTTGTTTCAACCTTTGGAAGGTAAAGTCTGATGATCCGCAGTCCTTTAAAAGGGGTGTGGTGAAATAATTTATTACATGGAACCATAAAGTGGTCTGTTTTTATTTAAATTATTTGCTCTGGATTTATATTGGGCTCTCTGGATTTTATCTTCCTTGGGTCTACCCATACGGATTACCTAGTTTTCATAAAAAATAATATATATATATATATATATATATATATATATATATATATATATATATATATATATATATGAGTTGAGGTTTCAAACTTTAAGTCAGATTCTTCAGACAGCTAATTACGAAATGCTGCGAAACACTCATCTCCCACTTTCTCTCTCTCTCGTGATATAGAGACTTTCAATTCTTCCACTTTGCAATTTCATCATGGCACTCTGCTCAATTTATCTAATAGTCTGGAGTTCTTCATGGCAGCAAAATCACATGACATAATGGAACCGTGTTTCTGCCTTAACTGCTTCTCTCTTTGTCTGTCTTCTCTATTCTTGCTTCTTGCACCTGGGATCTCTGCATGGCTATTTATGGAGTCCAACTTCCAAAAACCAGGTTGGCATTGGCTTGTTCTGGGATGCCTTTGAATCTGTTACCCAATCAAATCTCTCCACAGGTATTGCTGGGTGGTCCTTGTATGTCCAAATATAGGAAGCTCCCTCTGTGGGAGTGGCAGTAGCAACACATCAGTCTGCCATCTTGTTCTCCCACCTCCTCTTGCTTGCACCTCACACCAGTACCTTTCAGTGGGCATATTCATTTTCCTCCCACTTTCTCATATCAGCTCCTCATGCTACTGCCATCCAGTGAATAAGTATTTTACTCAAGCCTATGGACACCCAATGTAAAACAGATGTTATTTTTAATGTCACCATAAAATTGAGAGCTGAATTTAATTATGAGCCACTGTTTTTAAATTTACCCTTTTCTCAATAGAGCTCAACCAGATTTCCTGGGAGCATATATTTTGTCATCTACAGACCCTATGGACACCCAATGTAAAACAGATGTTATTTTTAATGTCACCATAAAATTATTATCTCTCTATTCCTAATTATCACATTTGGTCTGTAACTCTTCCTCCTTTTTCCCACTTGACCAAAATTTTCCATTATGAGAAAATCTTGTTCTTTTAGTGACACACACATTCTCCATCACTTACAAGAAGTGACCTAGTCATTTCTTTACCCATTTCCTCATCCACCTGTAGCTATAAAATTATTATCTGTAACTAACTTGGTGGTCTCTGTCCAAAATCATACCCCCATCACCTTGTCCCCTGGGCTTCTCTTTAACCAGATACCCAAGTGGATTTCAACGCTATCTTCTAGAGAGGTTCTTATTCACAAAATGAATTTCTTTTGTTTTCGGTATTTCCGTCAATGTATCTACTACCTTCTTTATCTTTGTTTTCATTTTTGATTTAAGTTGATTTTTTTTTCCTTTCTTCAAATTATTAGCATTCTTACAGTGTCACATAATTACACATGGAAATTTTATTTAATTATTTAATTGTTATATGTATTGTTCAAAATGTCTTCCTTCTTTTTCAAAACACATTTCAATTCTGTGCCTGTATGATTCATTAACATGTTGGAGAGTTTCATCTGTCATTTTACTGCATTCATATTTAATTCTTTCTTTAAGTTCCTCAATATTTCTTGGGCACGTCTGATAAACAACTGATTTCAAATGGGCCCCAGAGAAAAAAAGTCTAAGTGTGTGAGGTCTGGTGACCTTGATGGTTACTCAACAGAACCTCTTGAACCTATCCATTTGTTGTTTATGCAAGAAAATATCAAGCAAATTAGACATTTAAGACATGATTAATTAATTAAACTTTATGGTACACAACTTTTGCCTCATCTTTTATATTAAATACAGTATTTTTTTTTTTTTACTCTTTCTTAAGTTTATCACTATTATACTGTTACTGTATTGTTATTATTATTGTGATATTATGTAATTTTATATGATGATATTGTTGTATTCCACTGTTTTTGATCAGATTTCAAAGTCTAGAGTGAAAGAAAATATGAAATTTCTTTTTAATTTTTTTTTTTTTTTTTTAAGCCTTTTCTTCCTTTCAAGAATACAGAAAAAGCTATTCACATGACAAACCTTCTTCATTTGTTTAGCGATAATGAAGATATTGATGAGGTATCGACCCCTAGTCTTAAGTAAGTCTTTAATGCTTATCTTTATAGAATGTGCCAAAAATATCAATACAGGTTGAGTATCCTTTATCTGAAATTTTTTTTTTCAGGTGTTGACATGACTTGCCACAAATAGAAAATTTTAGAAAGCACAGTGAACACTCCTAAGTGATGTCCATCTGTTGTAAGTGGCCTCATCTACTGGGTTATATAGCCTATTAGCAGTAGAGCCCGGCGTTGCCCGGGGATGTAACAGTAAGAGATAGATCAAGTATCGACCATCATAAAGACTAGAAAAATAAAATTGACAATGATTATTGTTTAAGGTTGACGGACACGACATGTCTTAATTAGTTTTTTTTTTTTTTTAAACAAACCCAAACTCAAACAAAAACATTGTTTTACAATCGTTATGAGTCTACCGATTGAATAGAATTTTTATTATAAACAATTGTCTTGTAAATGGAATTTTTAAAGCATTCTGAATGTAAAAACAAAAAAATAGTGTGCAAGACAATAAGAAACACTACCTGCCAAAAAAAAGTGAAGTTTTGTTGAAATTGGTTTGAAAAATGTAGGAAATCGATCCCATATATAAACGAACACAGACACACACACACAACACACACAAACAACCTGGGTTTTATAATAAGTATAACTCGATATGAGTTGTCCCCCTTTCATTCTGGCAACAGTGATGCCTCTTAATCGTTTTTCAAATTGATTTTGTGCAAAAACAATTGTGTTTTTTGTTATCAATTTTGGTGCTGTCAGAACCACCGCAAGGTAATTTTACGTAGTTCTGTGAAGTTTTGTTGAAATCGGTTGAAAAATGTAGGAAATCCGATCCAATATATAAACGAACAGACACACACACACAACCTGGGTTTTATAATAAATATGATGATGTTGGCGCCAGATTTTTGTTAGCGATTGTCACAGCAACACTTTTGTTTGGGGATTACTTACCAGTTGTTTTGTGCTCACTAAAGATATTCAAAATGCCAAAAAATCCTGCAGTTACCCTATATGGGTAGTCAGAGAAAAAAGAAAGTGTTTATGTTTATCAATATCACAGAAAGTCAAACTAGACAGCAGGTGGGGGTGTAAGTGTGAATCATCTGACCGAGGAGTTTGGCGTTGGAACAACCACCATAGGCGACCTAAGGAAACGGAGGGAGAAATTGTTAAAGTTTTATGTTGAAAGGGATGAACAGAAATAAATGAAAAATAGTAAAATACAGAGCAAAAAATGATGATCTTGATCGTGTATTGATGGAGTGGATTTGTCAGTGTCTGAGTGAACATATGCCACTTAACAGAATTTGTCAGCGTCTGAGTGGACACATGCCACTTAACAGAATTTGTCAGCGTCTGAGTGGACACATGCCACTTAACAGAATTTGTCAGCGTCTGAGTGAACACATGCCACTTAACAGAATTTGTCAAACAGTTGAGTTCACATGCCATGTTCTGTTTGTTTGTCAGGGTCCCGAGTGGACACATGCCATTAACAAAATTTATCAGGGTCCGAAATGACACATGCCACTTAACGAAATTTGTTTTCTATCATGGACACATGCCACTTAACGGAATTTGTCAGGGTCCGAGTGGACACATGCCACTTAACGGAATTTGTCAGGGTCCGAGTGGACACATGCCATATTAATTTGTCAGGGTCCGGTGGACACATGCCATTAAACAAATTTGTCAGGGGTCCAGTGGACATGCCACATATGGAATTTATCAGGGTCCGAAATGGACACATAATATTAAATAATTTGTCAGGGGTCCAGTGGACACATGCCCATCTAACAGAATTTGTCAGGGTCCCGAGTGGACACATGCCATAACAGAATTTAAACTATTCCAGTGGACACATGCCACTTAACAGAAAAACGTCTTGCGTCAGTGGACACATGCCACTTAACAGAATTCTGGTCATGAAACAAATGAACATCTGTCATGACGAAACTTTCTAACTTAATATTCAGCAGGTTGAATTAGAAAAAAAGTCTTGGCATCAAATATTTAAAAGGTGTATCTTTATGATAAAGTATATGGCAATATAAAACTACCTTCAATATATACATAAAATTTTTTGTGAAATTAAAAGGGATATCGTTTTATTCCTATTTAAATATATTTTTATAGATGCTATATACAAATTAAATAGCCTGTATTCCAATATTCAAAAAAAAATTTCAAAACCAAAGCACTTCCAGTCCCAAGAATTTCGGTTAAAGGATTCTCAATCTTTTTTATTTTATTTTTCTTTCTATAACTTTCTGATAGAAATATTATCTCCCTTGCACTTTTGATGCCATGTGGTAGACTATTCCATGATGTTTATGAAGCAGGTACATGAGAAAAAAAAATGCTTCAAGCTAGAGCAGAGTATGTTAAAAATAATTTAAAAAATATATTTCCAGACTCATATAGACAAAAAAAATGTTATTTTTGACAGCATAGATGGGATTAGTATAAGATTCTACTGGACATAAAGTGGGGGATCTGTTTTCTATTGTTAATAAACTGATCCCCCACCAAATTTATTACATCTATATTCATAAAAGGGATGATTATCTGTCATGCAATGTCTGCGTGTAACTTTGTATGTGCATATTGCATCTATATGCATATGTATGTATATATGTGAGTGACTTTATTATGCTTGTTCCATTTAATGTATTCACAAGTATACATATACACACACACACTCACTGAGTTTAAAAGAAGGCATTGGTATAATACATTCCATCCATCTATTCAATCCCTACCTTGGGGTGAATTCTTAAAAAATCATAAATTTTGTGAAAATAAAAAAAAAAACAAAAAAATAAAGACAACTTATGCTATTTTGAACTGTCTCATTTTTCTTTTTTTTTTCTTCTTCTTCTTTTTTTTGTGCTGTGTCCCTTTAAGACATAATTCATGGCTCTCCAAAATTCCTGTCCTTTGTAACTCTTAATAATATATTTCTTTTTTTTTTTCTCCTAAATACTTGTTCTGCCATCCATTTATCCTCAAAATAGTATTGGGAAGTTCTGACCAAAATTTCTGACCTCCAGGTCTAAACCTGACCTGGAAGATTAATATATTGGGGTTCCATTTATATTTTTAGTGACAAAAAACTGAGGTTAAAGATAATTAAAATATATTTTTATAAAAAAACCAGCAATAAATTTAAAAAAAAATTTAAATTTTTTTTTTTTATTAAAAAAAGAAAAAAAAAAAAGAAGAGTCCATTTAAATTAAATTTTGGCATTAAATGACCCATAAGGAGTTGATATACCATTAAGCAATCAAATCAAAGTACCCAAGAAAATTAAATTTCGGCATTAAATGACTCATAAACAGGAAACAAGGGATAAACCCCTACTCTGTTCAATAGAAGGAGAAGGTCTTTAAACTGAGCGATAACCAAATTTATCTACTACTATTAAATGAGGATTACAATATATAAATATTATATATTTATTATTAATTATTTTGTTTTTTTTTTATCTGTTGGTGCTGCACCATTGGCGCCTACCATTCGATATTTGTTTTTTGGAATGTGCAGATAGTAGCACTGCTTTTGAACAGTTCATGTGCTGGAGAAAATGTATCTCTAAACTGTAGTAGCAGTTAAGATATAAGCATTATCACCCAATTTTAAACAAGTGAATAAATAGTGTTTAACATTTTTGTTGTCAATTCGGAACAAAAAAAAAAATTATAAATATAGTTTCATATACTTGGAGTACATTAAAATTCTAAAACCAACTTTTAAAACAAATATTACCGAGAGAGTACATGGTAATAGTGGTTTCAAGAGAGAAATATCTTTTTTATACATTTTCTTTATTTTCTTTTTTTTTTTTTTTTTTTTTTTTTTTTTTTTTGGCTGGCCATATATTAGACTTTGCCAAAATGTCATTTCAAATTAAATCCTTTCTGAATGAATCCTGTTTCTTTTGTTTTTCTTCAGGTATTTGCTCTTGCCTGCTTTACTTAATTATTTCACAATGAGAAAAGTTGGAGGCGAACGTTTAGATTTAGTGAAAAAAGCCAAGGTAAGTAGTTTGCGGAAATTCCAATTATTAAACTTTATTGCTTTCAGGTGTGGCAAACAATCGTCTGGTAATTTTTATTTTAAGCTCGTAAAATCTTTGAAATTGCTTGTTTGTTCAAAGTGCATTTAATATAATTATTTAAACATATATTGTTAAATATAACAGACAATGAATTGTCTGTTATGTCTGATCATGAGATGTTCTAAATTTTGTGTGGTTGCTTTAATTTTGGGTGAAAATAACGACAAATTGTTTAAATATTTTTAAATTTTTTTTTTTTTTGATTGGTTGGTATGATCTAAATTATTTAAAAATGTGCCATCTTCATAGTGGTTATATGGATATTCACCATTTTTTAGAGATTATATTCTGTTATTCTTATATCTGAAGGTTCCTTTTACTGAATATTGTTGTGTTATCAACTAATATCTAATATAATATAATTATCTTACATTTTAATAACAATTTCAATTTCTCACTATTTACAATAATCAGACTATTGTCCTCATCTTTGTCGCCATATTTATTACAATGTTTTGGCTGTTGTATGCTCCGGCCTTCAGGTGATTGAAATGTCGAACTGAACCCTTTATTTTGCTCACTGTTCTAGTTCTACATGCCATGTTTTAATGGATGTCAGTTATCAGTTATCTTCCCTCTCCAAGTTCTCCACTGCCTTAACCGGGTATTGAACTCACACTCTTTGGGTTCTGTCAAAAAAAAAAACTAACAAAAAACCACTGCTATGTGTCCTTGAGTCCTTGAGGACATCTGTGTATGAATTTCTGGGTATTATAAACCTAATGTCTTCAGTATCATTTTTTTACCAGAGCTCATATGGCAATTTTTTTTGTTATTATCGCTTTTTTCTGGCACTCCTTATTACTGGTTTTTTTATAAATGTATTCAAATTTCTATGCTTGGTTGGCTCAGGAATTTTTGTGGCCTTACATTTATGTTAAATTTTTTTCAATTAAATTTTTTTTTCCAATGGTGTTCTTTGTTTATGATCTCAACCTGATCCCACAGAGGGCAGTGATCTCCCTTTTCTCTCCATTCTTTCAATTTCTGTCCATCTTGACATGTTTGTTGATTTCCTCTCTCTCTCTGCCCTTTCCTCTTCAGTGACCTCTGTGTTATAATTTGACTCTTTCAGTTTTATATCTCTGCCTGTTTCCTGATTTTAGTGAAACTTTGTTTTGTTTTCTTCTTATCAATCTCAGCCCATTCACACCTGCCTGTTTAGACAGCAATGAATATTTGGGCCCAGATAAAAGCTAGGTTTTTGGTTTCTATGTTTCATGTTTAACAGCACAACAGCCCTTGGAAAATGGCACATTATATTCTTAATACATTGGAGTTTGTGTCATACTTACATGATTTGAAATAACTACAGTTAATCTTGGAGAACTTTTAGATTACAATCTCAGATTTTGCCCCAACCCCCAATATTTAATCTTCCCACAAAAAAAAAAAACCATTCATGTTGACATAAATTACAAGAAGATAATTAAATTTTTAAACAAAACCCAAATTATATTTGGAATTTTGGATTGATTTGTTTTTTTTTTTAAAATCAGCTTATCAATCTTTTGTAGGTTATTTAAAGCCAGAAAATATTTTTAGATTGCAAGAATTTTTTTTTTTTTTTTTTGAGATGATAATTATTCGAGTTTTATTAATTAACCCATAGCTGGGGGAGAATAGGTGTATTTATACCTTTTTCAAGGGTATTTTTGCATAAGTGAATGTAATGAACCCAATGGGAATCTGGAATTCGACTCTCCAACTAAGAATTTCCTGCCATATTCAATTATACCACTCTCACATCCAAGCTTATAGTACCTGGTATTCCTAAGCAGTCACCCATCTAGATACTGACCCGGCTTGACATTGCTTAACTTGAGTGTTTACACATGATGTGGCTGTAAGCCCATAATTTTGGAGATGAGGAATTATTATTATTATACATTTTTTTTTTCAGCTCTTGTCTTTTTGTTTTATTCAAAAATTTTTTAGCCATTTTTTCAAGACATATTTTTTTTTTGCTTTTTTTTTTTCTCTTTAACCTTCTTTATTTTTTCAACAGAACCATCTATTCATGCATACAATTTTTCCCACCTCTGAGTACAAGCGTTAGGTTTAAAAACTTCAAAATGACACTACTGGATTGTCTAAGACACATGTGGCCAAGGGAATTTAAAGTATTTACATTGTATTCAGCAAAACTAATATCCTCATCTTTGTTCTTATGATCACAATGTTCAGCTGTTGTGCCTTCTGGCCTTCTTTAGGTTTCTGTCAATCCAGGTAAGCTTTGGAGAATTTTAAACTGAACTCTTTATTCAGTCTCATTTCACAGTCCATGTCTAGGCATATCTCCTTTTGGCTAATTTATTAATTATTGTTAATTCTGTTTCCATTGAGTCTTGAGTATATCTGTACTACCTTCACCATATTTGAACTCCCAATTACTTAGTGAATCATATTTTCACTATCAATGGTTTAATCTTTTTTTAGATAAATCAGTGTGAATCATAACAAAGATATGGTAAAAATATGTCTATTTATATATTTATGAAATTGCAAGTTCAATCCCTCTGCTTGGTAGTGCTGAAAAGTTATATACTCTTATTTGGTGAATGTTATAATGCTCGTATAAGCTCATAGTTCTGGTTAATAATATTCCAATGGAACCTGGAACAAAGGATTAGTGAAGAAACTGTTTAATCACATGGATTAATAATACAATATTAACTTTTTACCATATATGACTGTTAATAATATAATGAATTACTATTTATATATGAGAGATATGATTATCTGTCCTTTATAAATTTTAAAGCTTAGCCAATCAATTTACAGTTACTGATTGGTGTGCTTTTCTACCACTTTTGAAGAACACTTTTTTTTCTTCTGCACAAATTTTTCAACCAGCCTGCTCTACATTGTTATCACCACAGAGTCCAGTATTATGGCGAAAACATTCTCTATTCTTCAGCAGATAAGTTTGGTACATATATACATATATATATATATATATAAGGATATTATTTATAATATATCAGGTCATCCCATAAGTTCTGTCCGAATTTTGAATAAAGAAAACAAGTGACCAAATGTTACATTTAATTACAGATTCAATCAACAATGTATTTTCCCTGATTATCTATGACTTCCTTCCATCTATTAACAAGCTTACTAATTCCATTACTGTAAAATTCTTTTGGCTTTGATTCGAAGAACTCACAAATGTCAGTTTTAACCTCTTCCTGTGTTACAAAAAGCTGTTTCTTCCAAATGATTCTGTAAGCTACGAAACAAATGGTAGTCTGAAGGAGCAAGATCAGGAGAATAAGGTGGATGAGGAATTTTCTCCCAACCAAGTTCTTCGATCTTTTGTGACGTGATTCTTGCTGTGTGGGGTCGCGCATTGTCCTGATGAAACATCACCTCTTTTCGATTCACTAGAGCAGGTCTTTTTTTTCCTCAAAGCTTGGTTCAAACGCTCTAATTGCTGACAGTATATTTGAGCATTAATTGTTGCATTAGGTGGTAAGAATTCAAAGTGGATTATTCCTTGGCGATCCCACCAGATTGAAAGAAGAACCTTTTGCCCATGAAGTTCCCTTCTCGGCTGTGGCTGGGGTCCTTCCCTTTACCAAGCCACTGTCTACGACGCTTAACATTTCGATAAAAGATCCATTTTTCGTCGCCAGTCACAAGTCTATCCAAAAAAGGTGAAACAAGTTGGCGAGAATGGAGAGAAGAGCAGATGTCAACTCAGGATTTGAGGTTGTTTTCAGACAATTCATGAGGCACCCATTTTCCAAGTTTAGGAACTTTTCCAAGTTGTTGAAGATGACGATGAACAGTTGTATGGTTTGAACTGAGAACCACTGCCAATTCCTCAACTGATAAAGCAGGATTTTCTTCAAGGGCTGCTTCAAGAAGCCTTTCATCAAACTCAACTGGACGTCCAGTTTGATCTTCAACTTCAAGGGTGAAATCTCCACCTCTGAATTTTGAAAACCATCTTCTGCAAGTTCTTTCATTCACACATTCCTCTCCATAAACTGAGTGACTTGAACTCATAAAGCATTATGTGCCTCAAATGATTCTTGGGTACTTCCATGTTAGCAGGGTTTTAATCAAACAAAATTTAATTTTATTGTTCTCTGAAATAAAATTTGATCAGTTTAAATGCATCTAAACATAAAAATAATGTTCGGCTCCATTAGACATTATAGAATACTCTTTGAATTTCGTTCATTTTAACAAAGTTAAAATTTGGACAAAACTTATGGGATGACCTGATATTTTTATATAATTATTTATAAATCATACATCTATTATATTTTATTCTTTATTTATTACAACATCTCTTTCCATCACAATTTAATCTTTTATATTTTTTTAATTCCTCATAACACTTTTTATATCCCATGAATTGAATAAAATATAGTGAATGGGAAACACCCACAATTTAGTGATGGTCTATTTCTTTTTTCATGTCAGTGGCTGGATTTCATAACAAACAACAAAAAATATTCTTGTATCTGGTATTTTGTTAATAAGAATGGCCCATTTGTAGATGTCTGTTTATTAATTGACCAGACGTTTCCTTTATTTTAGGAAAAATACCACAAAATATGAAACGGCCCTATAACAAATAAAAATGATTTTTTTTTTTTTTTGTGTAATGATGTTTATGTGAAGAAAGATTATGTGACTTTGAATATTGAAATAATATTTTTTTTCTGAGCTCACAAAAAAATGAATGAATTATTCTACTGGAAAATGCTGAATAAACTGTAAATTATATTATTTCAAAGAGAAAAGTTCTTGTTGTTATATATAATATTCTATATATTTGTATATATATTTTAAAATATATTGTATATATATATTCAATTTTCAATATGCTTTTATCATCTTAAAATCATGGTAAAAGTGACAAGAATTCTTAAAATTACATCTTCTTATTTCAAATGAAGAAAAAGATAATTGATCTAAAATTTGTGTCTTATTTATAATTATTATAATCAATGTGACAGGCTCAAAAAAAATGGCGGGAAAATGTAAATGACTTGGTCATGCTGTTATTTCGTCAATAATTATGGATTGTTTGATAATTTTGTGTTTCAATTTAAATTGACAAATTAGAAGCTGATATTTCATTGAAATCTTCTTTTGAATAAAATTCAAATCTGATAGAAAAGTTTTTAAAGCAGGATTTATAAAGGTGTCTAAAACTGTTGAGTATTGATATATGATTAAAAAAATGGAATGAAAATCTATTCTCAATTTGAAAGAATTGCAAATCTCTTCAAATATTTTTTATCTTTAGAAGCAGTATTTTTTGATTAATAATTGTTTATTTTTAAAGATTTATTTATTTTAAAATTCATAATTGGTCAAATTTGATATAGACATCAATTCTGTTACTGAATAAAGTGCATTATAATATTTATGTCTGTTAAGGTGGGGGAAATAGTTTATTTATAATGTCTATATAAATGATTAATTCTTTCTAAATTATTATGTTTATATATAAAGAAAATAAAAAAAATATTTTTTTTATTTTGTTTGGAGAATTGCTGTATGAAATTAAAACTGTCATTAACTGTAAATTATAAATTTGAATATAAATGAATTTATTTGAATTTATTTGTGTTTAAATTTTTTTTTTTTTTTTGACATCAACATATAAAAATGTATATAATAAAATTTGTTGTTTATAATTTTGTTAGTTTCAAAAATTATTTTCTAAAGATTAAGAAGAAACTTTTTTTAAAAAAATTAAGAAAAAATTACTAACAAAATTTTTTTTAAAAAATTTTCTTTCTACCACTTTTGAAAAAATACAATTCCCTCTTAGTTTTATCATTTAATGAAATTTTATTAGTATATTTTATTAAAATATTTTTTTTATATTTTATTTTATTTTATTAGTATATATAAATATATATATAAAATCTTTATATTATATTCAAAATCTAAAAGTTTTTCATTTAAAATTTGATATTAAATGGAAAATTTCAATTTAGCAATGGGAATTGTAAATTTTTTAAAATTACTCATCTGCCCTGGGTGGGGTTAATATTCATATAAAAATGTAACATTTTTATTAAATCTTTGACAAAATTTTTTTTAGCAAAAATTTTTTAAAAAAATTCCTTCATGGAATATATATTTATTAAAAATGCTAAATAAATTAATATTCAAAAATTCAAATTCATTTATATTTTTTTTTTTTTTAAGTAGTCATCATGTTTTTTTTTTGTCTTTTAAAATAAATAATAATTTCATTTTTTCATGAAATTTTAATTTCACCATTAAAAATCATGTATAATTAAATGATGAATATCATTAAAGTGTATCTGTATGTATATAAAATTTATTAAATTTTGTAATATGATATCGATAAATTGTCATCTAAATTATTGGAAATATTCTACAAATATCTCATTTTAACAGATATATTTTCCTAAATTACATAAAAATTATCTTTAAAAATTGAAGTTTAAAAAATTCAATAAAATTGAAAATTGGCCTGAAACCAATTCAAACCTCCAATGAATTCAAATCATAAAACTCTTCAATATTGTCTCAAATATTTTTTTTCTATATGAGATATTCAGGAATGTGATGGATTTCTAAAAAATATATTTGAATTTCAAAAAAACGTTAATTCCTATGCTGGCATCTCATTTTAAATTATAATATTTATATAAAATTTCATAATTTTAATTTTTTTTAAAATCATTTGTTTTAACTTGTTTTCATTCAATAAAAATTCTAAGTTTAAAAATTGAATTTATTAAATTTTTTTGATATCCTGCAACTTTTTTTATGGTTTTATTTTAAATTGGTTGGTAAATGTTTCATAATTTATAATAGTTTTTCATCTTTTTTTTTTAGCATTGTCTCTTAATCAAAAGGTTAAATAAAGACATATGATAATTTTTTTATTTATATATATAATTTGATGAATATTTAAAAATTAAATTTTAATTTATTTTTGGATTCATGAAATTGTCTGACAAAATCTTGGATTTTATTGCAAAAAAATATATTTTTTATCTGTTTCTAGACATACAATATTTTAGCAGCCACCCTAAATTCCAAATGGATTAATAATTTTAAAAAGCAAATGATTAAATTTCATTTTTTTGTTGTTGAAATTTATTTTTTTTTTTCAAATAACATCTTTTAAGATTTATTTTTATCCTCTTTATATTATCAATTTTTTTTTTGTATATTTCATTCAGAAATATTCATAATAACTTCTCATTGAATGCAAAGATATCATTTTGTCATTTTCATTTATATGGATTTTTCTGGTTAAATATGTTTATATTTAATGTGTTAATCATTTTTATAAAATTTAAATAAAGACCCTACTATAAAACTTGCAGAAGACAAAAAATGGTTCAATAAATTTTGCAATTTAAATTAAAAATATAAAAAATTATTTTTTAACCCATCAATGATGTATATTTTTATTTCATTTTTTTTTTTATTTTTTTAATATCCAGTTTATATAAATTAAAATGTTGTAATGTTAAATATTTTGTTTATTTTTTTTTTTGATTTTAAACATTAAAACATACCAAAATTTATTGGAAATTTAATAATTATATATATATATATATATATATAAAATAATATCATTGAAAAGAAATTAAAAAAATAAAATTTGAATTTTCAGTTTAAAAATCTTAATTTAGAAATTTTCAAATTCAAAAATATATAAAAAATATACAAAACATTCAAGAGGCATTTATAAAAAAAAAATTAAAAAGTTTAAAAAGTAAATAAAAATAATAAAATTTAAAAAAAAAAAAATTTAAATTTAAAAGAAAAAAATTCAAAAAAAAAATTTTCATTTTCATAGATATATTTTGTATTTTTTCAAAAAAAAAAAAAAAAAAAAAAAAAAAAAAAAGAATAAATATTTATTATTATTTAAAATAATCAGTATAAATTCCACACAGATTAAAAACGAATGAATATATACAACCATTCCTTCTTTTTTAAAAGGCTGCTTGACTTTTTAAAAAATCATCTCAAGAATTCTTTCATCTGCTTGCAATAACTTTTTTTATTTTAAATATAATTTCAAAATTTATAATGAAAAAAAAAAAAATTATTTTATTTTCTGGAAATTTCTGTTCTGAAAATAAAATTTTTTATAATATATAGTATTCATTTCGAGTAAATTAATTTTTTTATAAATTTTGTTTGATGGATCTTAAACCGATTTATTAATCATGGTTTCAACCTCTAATTTTTATTAGTTTTTTATTATATTTCTCTTTTGCATGGGCATTTGTAATTATAGATCACTGAACTAAAATGATAATTTTTTTAAATATCTTTTTATCAGGCATTTCCATATATGTTGGGAAAATTTAAATTTCCCCATCGATTAATTATTTTGTTCTGAATTTTCATAAATTATTTTGAAAGAATATTGTATATATATATAAAAATAATATTATATCCCATGTATGAAATATTCATCAATCATAACGTCTTAATAACCTTGATGCAAGATATATAAAATCTGTTGATATTCTTTACTTGAATAAGACTTATAAAACAAAAAAAAGCATATAACAAAAAAAACATTTATTATATTTATATATATATATATATATATATATATATATATATATATATATATATATACACTGCGTGCCAAATTATTATCAAAATAACTTTTTTTCTAATATTTCAAAAACTGTCCAATCAATTCACAAAATTTTTTCACAAATGTTGTAACACTGACCTTTTAGCAATCACTGAAATTTTCTTACTGATCTGCGTAATGTAAACAAACTGGCGCCATATTTGTTATCAGCATAGTGATTTGAGTGTGCCAAATTATTAGAAAAGTGTAAGAATTTAATGAAAAGATGGACCGTAAAAAGCAGTTTAAGTGATGCTGAAAAAAATTCACCTCAGAAGTCTCAAAAATTTATTTAAAAAAAGACCCTAGAAATTTCTAAAATGATAGGAGGTGTCATCAAACAATTGAAAAAAATCACCGCTGACCCCTTAAAAAATGAAAAGGGCAGATAAAATCTTAAATAAAAATATATTTCATCACATCGTTGAATGTCAAATGACTTAAACATAAAATGCCACGAAGAATTTTGAAAAATTTTTTGAAAACATTTCAATCCATTAAAATCCTTGTTGAAAACAAAACAAAAATTCTTGAAGAAAACATGAAAACAATAAACAAAAACTAAAAATTCTTGAAGCTATATATATATATATATAAAACAGTTGAAACCTAGCCTGAATTAAATAAACAATGAAATCTCCACAAATATTCTTAAATGCCTATAACTGATAACAGAAGCCACTGGTTTATACCAACGGCTTCCCATACTTAATACTTCTCGTTTTCACTCTCACGTGGTCATGTGTGACGTCGTGAGCTGCCACGCGATGTTCGCTTCTGCGTCTCGTATACACAAGTTTGTTGTTCCTTTGAAATTTTTCATGCAACAAAAACAGACTATCATTATTGTTTCATCCATGTATTTTTTGATATATTGAAATGTAATTGTCATCTTTGATAATGGCTTATGTAAGCCGAAAGCTTAGATTGGATTTAAACGTATCAATATGGTGATTTCCTTTCGTCTTTCAACGATAATGTTATTAAGCTTATCAATATGAAAGGAACTTACTTAAAATAAATAGACAAAACTTGTCTCTCTCTCTCTCTCTCTCTCTCTCTCTATATATATATATATATATATATATATATATATATATATATATATATATTGAAAATTATATACATAAATATGTTATAAAATCACTACAAAAATATTCTATAATTTTCAGACTTTTTGGCATACATATTACATCTACATTGTAACATGTAGTTGTGTCTACGCAGAAAAATTAACTTTTTGTTGGCAAACAGCTTCTCCACGCCCCACACTGAATCAATTTTGTTTTGGTCATTTTTTTTTTCCTTTTGTAACCTTTTAGGGAACCAGATTTACTTGGAATGGCTAATCAGCGCCAAAACAAAATTGACCGTTATAAAGAACAAAAGAAAACATTGCAAGAAATCAAAGAATTACGGGTTCATATTGAAAAGGAACATGTGGAAGAAGAAGTTCAAGTAAGTTTTTTTTTTTTTTTTTTCCAACTCTAAAGATTTTGAGTTGGATCATAAAGAAGAGTGTTGATATGTGAAATTGGAAACGTAAAAAGTGAATTTGTTTTGAATAGTTGAATCTTGAGCAAGTATTTCAGATCCAAACAATGTCTTATTTACAATTTCTTTGAAAGAAGTTCAGAATAATTTGAGGCATGTTTAATTTGGTTTCTGTGGTAAGCTTTTTATTAATGTGCTGTGTCCCGTCAAAACGGAGGCGATCATGACCCTCCACAAATTTCCAGTTCATCAAAAATGTTACCTTTTTTTTTCTCCTAAACTTTGTTCCACTATCCATTTATTCAAGTTCACTAAGTAGGTTATGCATTGTTTTCCTTTCTCTTGCCTTCAATCTGTCCTGTGAGTATCAGATTTTCCGAGCCCTCTTTCATTCATTATGTGCACTAGAAATTCTCTAATTGATGTTAAGTATAAGTTTCCTTTTTGTTTCCATTTTCTCTAAAACTTTGTCGCTGCTCCCATAGTCAGTCAATGGTATCCTCAGCATCCTTCTGTAGAACCACATTTCTGTTGCTTCAAGTCTCTTCTTCATTTGTGAGGAGGTTACCCAGCACACACTGCTATATAGAATGATATCATGTAACAGTTCAGTTGCGGGGGTTGGTTGAAAAAAAAAGTCTCAAGCTGGGGGCACAAATATAAACCATTGAAGGAACGAACTTCCAATTCTTAGATGAGTTTAATCAAACTTTATTTTATTCAGACTTAGTCTTGCCGTTGGGGGGTAATTCGATGTGACACTCAGCTCTAACTCTAACTAATGGAGATCAAATGCCAACCATTGCAAACCATACTCATAAAATTTAGTTTCACTTCTTCAGTGTGTCTGACACACTGGTTTCTAGTTTTAAATAACCTGCAACGACTGAACTGCTCGGCTGGAAAAATCACTTGTATTTATATTGAAATAATCGGAAGTCCACTAGACCACCGGGTGAAAACAAAAGATAAGCATTGGTGATTGTAAGTTCAAAATTTCAATGTACTTTAAATTTTGCTTCCTTTGATGTAAAATCCTCCTGCGGACATCCCGTTGTTGTACTGCACTCGGCCTTTGGCATTTGTATTTTCCAGGATTTTTTTTATCTTTTTATCTTAACAAATCTTTTCTATGAAGGCCATCGGATGTTTTTATAGCCCTTGCTTTTCTCAGCCAGGGGTTTTTTTTTTCCTTTTTTTTTTGCCTGGAGAAAGGGAAAATTCTGTTATCTTTTCTTTATTTCCTTAATGTGTTGTTTTTTTAATACAGTAAAGACAGTTTTTTTCTCCTGGTCATCTAAAATTGAATTTCCTAAACGTTTATCTTTTATCACAACAAATCACTTAGTCAAATATTTTATTGGAAGACTGGTAGGATTTAACAGTAATCTGATGCCTTTTCTCTTCCACAAATTTATTTATAAAAATAAAAAATTCCAATTTATTTATTTTTCCTTTTTTTTTTTTCCTTAGTACTTTTGTTAAACGAAACACATGTTTTAAACTATTTTTCTATTCTTAATTTATTAAAATAAAATACATATTTTACAAATCCACCTTAATATACGCCTAGTTATCGTGTCGCACAAAGCTGAAGAACCATTCAAGTTAGTGTTACTAGATGAGTTTGTGTTATGGATGTAGATGGAATTAGGTGTAGATTATGAAGATATATAGAATAGGTAACAGTTGAGCCTAGACTTGAAGAGGTTAAAGTTGCAAGAGTTTCAAGATGTTTCATCTGTGGGGAAAGGGGTGGTAGAGTGGAAAAACAATTCATCACCCACAAGGCAAAGTATATGCTTTTGAACTCTATCAAGGCTAGAAAGTGAGGACTGGATAACTCTAGCCCAGATATGACAACAGTACTCAATTTTGGTTTGACTGAATTAACAATCTTATGGTGTGGCTACCCTATTCTCTGGGTCACAACCTTATTGAGAACATTTGAGGCATTGTCAAAATGTTTATGAGGACAGAAATTTGTATCTAAAATAAAGTTAGGAAAGCATATTATTAGCTATTTGAAAAACCATTAGTCCTGAAGAAGTTTATAATCTTTTGTTGTCTTTGGTCATTAGTGAAACTGAAAATTAGACCCCTAAATAACGTTACTTTTCTGCTTGGTTGTTGTACAATATTTATGTGTTATGTTTTCTGGTTCTCATAAATTAAATTGAAAAGACAAGGGCGAATTTTAATTTTTTTGATAAAGACTTTGGAAGCTTTTTCTGATAGATGCAAATGTGATAATATAAAGAAAACGAATACATTGAGAACAATTCTTAAAAATTGTTAACTGTTACTCTGTACATAAAAATTAGGTAATAAGAACATTTTTGTGTACAATTATTTAAGATGATTTAACTGAAATGTATAAATAAAAAGTTATTTGGACTATTATCCTCATCTTTGTTGTTATTACAATGTTTTGGCCATTGTCTCTTCCAACGTTCTTCAGGGGTATATGAGGACCCCTTTAGTAGTCCTAGCATAGAAATAAATCCGATATGAGAACCACTAATAAAGAAAGAAAGCCAAATGACAGCAACCACAGCAGTCAAACATGACGGGCAGTTGCAGCACTAATCAGCAGGTAGGTTAGGTTTAAGGCTCCAAGTTTATGGCAGAGAATTGTCCTACAAAACAATAGCCTAGTGGATTAAAGTGTCAGTTCATGAATTTGATGAAATAGTAATTGTTTTTGGACAATGTGGAGATGGGAGAGAAATAACTGAGCAGTACTAAAACATCAGAACTAGACAAAATATACCTAGACATGGGCAGAAGAATGAGAACAGTCTATACCACCCCACTAGATTAAATAAAGGGTTCAGTTCAGAATTCTCTGTAGGTTAACCAGATCGATATACACCTAATGAAATTTGGAGAGCACAACAACTTAAACAATGTGATAACAACAAAGATGAAGACAACAGTCCAAATACAGTGTGCGATAGATAAATTGTTGTCTAAATGACGCAAAAATGAAAATAATGCTGGCATCTCATTTTAAGAGATATATTTACCAAAATTACATAAATTTTAAATACTAAAGAGTAAAATTGTGATTTTATTGAATAAATTTATTCAATAAAATTACAATAAGCTTCAACCACAGCCTCTCGATGATTTTGGAATCTCCTGCAACTTTTCTGGATGGTCTCCTTGTTTAAGTTAGTGAATGCTGCCATAATCCTTGCCTTCAGTTCATCTTTGGTGTTACAATGAGTCTCTCGCTCAACTGTGCCCCACACATGATAATCAAGAGGGTTGCAGTCTGGGGAGTTAGGTGGCCTGATGTAAGGGGTGATGTAGTTGCAGAAATTGTCTGACAACCATGACTGGGTTTTCCTGCTTGTTGGGCATGGTGCAGAGTCCTGTTTCTAGACATAGGGTCTTCTAGCAGCCACCTCTTGTCCCACGGCAACACTACCTCCTCAAGGTACTTTATGTAGGCCTCTGTTGAGTCTGAGACCCTCACCAACAAGGTGACTAAGGGTGGCACTACCTCCTCTTGGCTAAGAGTGATACTACCTCCTCAAGGCACTTGATATTAGCCTCCATGTTGAGTCTGAGACTCTCCTCAATAAATTTGGCAGTTCTTTTCTCAGAATGATCAGTACCTTTGTAATCACCATTAGACTCATCTGTGACACCCAAAATTTCTATAAATTACGGTCCCTATATGTGACACCCACTGGTGTGGTTGCCGTGCCAATATATGACATCCACTGGTCACAACGTCAATATATGACACTGCGCCGTCAGCCCGTGGTCGACTCCCAGTTGTGACGCGAAGCTGTAAGGTTTCTTCCATCAGCATTTTGGGGTTGACTCCTTGCCACTGCCACCAGCTTGTGTCCCGGTCGATCTGGTTGTTTCCAGTTCGATACCAGCTTTGTCGTTCACAGCTTGCCTCCAACGCTAGGTCACCAAAGTAACTGCTTTGAACTCTAAGTCTAACCTACCCACATTGTGACTTTGATCTTAGGTAGATGAAATCAATCAGGCGTTGGGCCATAGTGCAAGCTGAATCCGGGGTAAAGGTGATACTGCACAAGCGTAAGTAAAAAAAATAAGAAAACAAACTCAAGAGGTTCAAATATATTGAGAAATAACAATTATCTTTATCTATCTGTTGAATACAGATGTATGTTTCTCTCCCAGCCCATTTCTATGGATTCGTGACACTTTTTACGTTTCTTAAGCGAGTTATGGTATCTTAAGTCGTTTGTCAATAAAAACTTGCTTTTGGTAGGAAGACTAAGTTGAGAGGACGTGGAAATCTTTCAGTCAGCTCCTGTGAGGCAACACTCTCCAACTTCTCGAACTAACTTCAAACTCAAACTGTCTGGAACTGACTGCCAACCCTAACTGCCTCGAGACGTTTGTTTATATGGACACCGACTAAAAAAAAAAAAATGGTTTGGGTTCTTTTCAAATTCTCATTTCTCAACAAGAATTCTCTTTGTTCTTAGGCCAGGAAAATTAATTACTTCCCATTTTTGGAAGATTAATCACTTTCCACTTCAGGGTTTCCTACCTCGTCTGTGAGGGAAGGTCTGAGGAGAGTTATCCTCCTAGATTCTTCCTCTCTCACATTGGTAACTCATACCAATCATCTCAGTGGGTGCTAACAACTTCTCCGTCTTTCTCATACATTCACCTCCACCTATCACCCATGCTACCACTTGGTCAATGATCTCTTGGCAGTGTGGGTGTGGCTAGAGTGGCCCTCTTAGAATTATTCCAGAATTTTGTTTACAAAATCCTTTTTTTTTCTTTTTTCTTTTCCTTTGGCCAAAACATTTACAAATCCCAGATTGCCAATTAATTCTTATCACATCTTAATTTTGGGGACACCCAAATCCACTTAGCTCAGACCTCTACCGACTCATTAATCATTGTCAAAACCCGACACCTGGTTTCTCCGCTAGTCAACTTTTAACTGGGTGGTTGTGTTTACCTGATAATTAAATTCTTTATTTTTCTCATGCCTTAAAATTCTCTTATCACCAGATGCTCATTTTCGAAACGCTGTGTCTGGCGTCAACAGTTTGAATTAGCAATAATAATGATTCCCTTTTCGATTTCCTTTCTCATACCAAGATTCGTGTATATACCAGATGGCTTTCTTCGCTGGAACCAGGAATTAAAGTTAAATGATATCTCTGGAAGATAATTAATATCTATTCTCCGTGGTAGTCTCAAGCTGAAATTTTTTTTATGGTTGCATGCATTGGTTGGCTTTGTTTTTCTTTCAGAATTCTGTTTTGTTTGGCGCGTCACCCCCTTATTGTGACACTAATTAATTTTGACAGAATCACAGTCTTGCTTTTTCTTACGGATTTTCTGTCTTTTGCGAAAAGTATCTTTTTTTGTAAATAAAATGAATTCTTCTTTTTAATGTCGCTCAGTGTATCTTTTGATGTAGCTCTTTCTCGCCTTAAATATTTCCCATTTTTAATTTCTATGGTTAATTAGTTAGCCAATTACCATAGCTAAATAGTGTCACACATCCAACTCTTTCTGAATCCTCTGCACTGTTTTCAGATTGACACCCAAACACTCTGAAATGTTTATATTGGAGCTTCCAGTGTGAATGCCAAGCAGTACAGCATGCTGTTTCCAAGCTTCTGGCAGAGTGAATTGCCTCATGGTGCTCTTTTTTTCAGTACCCAGCTAACCCTATTATACTGTGCAGTCGGCAAAATCAAAAACAATGCATATCTGTGAAATTAAAAATATAAAATGGCGACAATTTACCCATTGCACCCTGTATATAAAGTGATTTTTATAAAAGTGAAATGTAACCATTTTTTGTATTTATTCATTTTTAAATCTTTAAAGCTTTTTAATTTATTTACTTGAACATGTTTTTATTATGCTATTAACAACTATTAATAACAACTTTTTTTTTTTTTTATTAAATTTCAGTACAGTTTCTGAGACAATGGTGAAAAAGTTAATTTGGCACCATGATGCCATTCTATACTTATAATTTCTAGCATTTCTCTTCAGTGTTTGGGTTTGTTTAAAAATTGACTTTTAAGTTTGGAGAAGAAATTTCTCTCCTAATAAAATAATTTTTTTTTCTCTTTCTAGCGAAAATATTATTTGTTGCTGCTTAAAAACTGGATCAGTACGGCATTGGATGATTTTGAAAACATCAAAAGTAAATGTTCTTATATTTCTTTGATTACAACTCACTGCAACTGTTGATTTATTTTTTGTTTTCGCTAGTAAATTTTCTAATCACTAATGGGATAAAAAGACAAAAGACTTTGTAAAAGTTGAACATTATCAATAATAAAATTAAGAAGCAAATCTGAGATCTGCCAAGAAATGATTCAGTCATTTAGGCGGCATCAGAACTGGGTGCATCAGTTGGCAACCAATCAGAGGGGACCTTACTGCGCATGTATGAACAGACACACTCCTATAGGGTTACTCAGTCTGCAGTGTGATGCAATTGAGTGAACTTGTGTATGGTCATTAATACAATGTGCTTGCCCATTTTTCAAGTCTTGTTCAGAGTTTTTTTTTTTTTTTTTTTTTTTTTTTTTGACAAAATCTTTCATCACTCAGGTTTGTCAGTGCCCTTGTCCAAATTCAGATTATAGTGTGACTTCTATCTTCTTCCAAAAGCTAAAAACGCTATTGAAAGGATGTGAGACAAAAATTTAATTCAGAATATGGACAAGATTAAGGAGAATCTAATAAATCACTAATGGCAATCCTAAAAGGACACTTTGCAGAAAAAAAGTGGAATGAGATAAGACAGTGAAATTCTAAGAGGCACACTCTTAGACTTCTAATTGGCCAAAGGTATCATTGCCCTAGGTAGGCTATTATTTAATTTATATAAAATGGCAAGACATTCTCCAGATAAGTCTTGTAAATAAAATCAAAATAGATTGCTCAGAAGAGTGAGTTCATTTCATTATTTCTAATCGTATTGATAAAGGACACTGGCATGTCTGAAAATTGCGACATTAAAATCTTTCCATTCATGATTTGGATTAGTCAAAGGAAAAACTCAGTTTTATTGACAATATTTTTATCATTTTGTTGTCTTTTCATTCCACAATTTTCATTAAAAGGCTTATTAAATATACAAATTATAAGAAACTTACATGGACCATCTTTCATCATTATCATCATCATCATTATTATAATATTGTCATTATTATTATCATTATCATCATCATCATTATTATAATATTGTCATTATTATTATCATCATCATCATTATTATAATATTGTCATTATTATCATCATCATCATTATTATAATATTGTCATTATTATTATCATTATCATCATCATCATCATTATAATATTGTCATTATTATTATCATTATCATCATCATCATTATTATAATATTTTTATATTAAATTTTCATCATCAGAAATTATAATATTGTCATTATTATCATTATCATTATCATCATAATTAATATATTATTATTATCATTATCATCATCATCATTATTATAATATTATCATCATCATTATCATTTATCATCATGTACATTATTATAATAAAATCATCATTATTATTATCATTATCATCAAGAATTACTTTTTTTTTCCATTAATTATTTTTCAACATTATTAAATATTTTTTATTTTTTATATCATCATTATTATACCCTTGCCATGGTTATGCAAATCCATCATTTATCATTATTGTAATATTGTCATTATTATTATCATCATATAAAACGCCAAAAAGGGATATCATTCCATTATTATAATATTGAAATTATTATGATCATTAAAGTATCATTTGCAGAAAAAAAGTTATTATAAACCATTATTATGCAATTCAAAAAAAATTATATGTATGTATTATTATATATATCTATATATATATATATATAATATATATATAATTAAATAATATATAAAGTGAGCCATTATTATTAATATTCCAATATATTAATCTTACAGTACCATATATAGTCTATTAGTAAATTAAATAAATTTAGTATTTTAGATATGTACAAATAAAAAATATGACTTAATCATATTTGAATATTCCTTTAAGAAATTATTGATGTAGTTTTAAAAAAAAAAAAATCTGCGCAAAATAAAATGTTTAAATATATTGCAGTGTAAAACTTAATTTTACAAATTAAAACAAACCAGTAATATTGCTTTTTAATTTGGAACAATTCATTAAAGATAAACTTCATAATCAACGCTCTGGTAAAAAAAATCAACACCCTTAATTAAAAAAACTGTTTCGGAATTTCTTACCACCAACTTAAAAAATAGAGTAAAACGTCCATTTTCGTTAAAAAAATGTTGTGTATGATATATATATATATATAATTATATATAATAAGTAAATAATATATAAATAAGATAAATAATATATAAATATGGGTTATATAGTCTATTAGAAATTAAATAAATTTAGATTTTAGATTATGAAAATTGAATCCAGAGACTTGAATGCCCAAAAAACTATTGATGTATTTTAAAAAAAGAAAACAAATAAAAAATGATAAATATATTGGTTGTCTTCCCAAGAATATACCAAACTAAAAGAATAAATAAAATTTATCTTATTCTTTTGTTTTCTACATTTTGTTAAAATTTTCCATTTTAATAAAAAAAACATGTATTATTCCATGCTTAAAAATAAGCTTCCAAATTGTTAGTAAGTTATTTTTAGCATCGCTTGAGAATGGAACTGAGCTCTGAATTTTAAGTTTAAATTTTAAAGTTAAATTTTTAGTTTCGTTTTTGAAATATAGAAATTTCTTTGTCGCAATGGAGACATATTTTTTTAAAAAAATTATAATAAATATATATATATAAAAGATCTTGTAATGTTATTATTTCAGTGGAGCTTGAAATTTTGAAGCAGATGGCTGCTATGAAGGCCAAAGGAATTGACATTGCTGAAGAGAAAAAATCAGGAGGATTTAAAAAGAAGGTGAAGAATTCTTGAAATCTTTCTTTTTTTTAATTTGCTCTTAAAAGGAAAGTAAAAATTAGTTTACTATTTTATAATGTTATATATTTAAGATTTGTTGATACTAGGTGTCTTCATTGGTTAAATCTGGTATCAACAACTTTTCATATCTTATTTTCTTCTTTTTCCTTTTCCTTGTATCTGTAAAATTTGGATATACTCCTCTCCTTTTTTTCTTTTCCTTTTCTTTCTCTCTGTAGTAGGGTTGATTTCTTATTCTTTCTTATGCCTTTCCTTTTTTTCCTCTTTTTTTTTTTCTTTTTATTGATTTCTTATTTTCTTTACTTTAATTTGTTTTTCTTTTTTTTTCTTTTCTTTTTAGGGAATGAATAATTTTTTTTATATATATATTTGTTTCTTTGCCTTCTATGGAAAATTTTCAAAAATGTTAAAAGAAGTGATGTTTCATTAATTGTAATTTTAAATAGAATCGTTTATTACCACCATTGTTAGCCGCCTGACGAGATATCTTTGGACATCGAAACAAATATGCATTTTCGTTGCAGCAACTTTCATGTTACTTGTGTAACAGTTTAGAATTATATATATATATATATATATATATAATAAAAAGGCTTAAACACTAATATTAGTGTTTAAGCCTTTTTATTATATTCTTACTCTGTCCTGGACATTGAGTTCTACCTGGATTCTATCCTCTTGGAAACCTTTATATGTATATTAACCACTAATATTATCTATCTATCTAGCTATATATATATATGTATATATATATATATATGTGTGTGTGTATATTTGATAATGATACATATAATTTTTTTTATATATCAAGAACAGTTTTGGAGGAAAGATATATATATATATATATATATATAACAAATAACAAAGTGTAAAAATTTTTTAGTGTGATGTGTTTTGTTCTTTAGGACTTGAAGCTATAAGGGCTAAAACTTTTTCCACTTATACACCCACAGGAGATAGGTATCAGCAATGCATGGTGACTATCATTTTCAAGCTCCAAATGATCTTCAGATCATGTATCACTACTCCCTTTATGGACTCCGTATATAGGCCACTTGGGGGGGGATTAAAAGAAGTTGGAAAAGGGGGAAACTTGTCCTTCCAATTCTTTTTGTTCATGATTAATGTTTTAGGTCAGGGGTCGGCAACCTTTTGTTAACTGTGTGTCAACTTAGGCTTTTAAAATCATTCATTGTACAAACAGCATTTTTTTTTTTTTTTCTTTTATAAAAGTCAATATATTATATGTAGTAATATGTAGTACATGTACTTTAGTATATATTAAAATTGAAACTGCTAAATATCTTCTTTGTGTTGTAGTATTTATTGGTTTGGACTTTGTGATTTCATTTGCAGCTGCATTCCATTGGAAATTGCTTGGCATGTCACAGGTTGCCAACCTTTGCTTTAGGCTATTTGGAGTCATTAGATTTTGCTTATTTTGTTTCTGTTAGGTGTAAATTTTGGTATTTAAAATCAAGTTGATTAGATTCAGGTTATGGGATTTAATTTAGTCTTTTCAGTCAAAATGTGGTTGTAGGTAATGTGGAAGGAATTTGTTTTCATATCTGCATTTAGAAATGAACTCTGATATTTTGTTTAAGAGTTTATCTTGTCCTGGAAAAGTGGGCAAACATTTGTGTCCAATGTCAAAAGTACTTTTCTTTTTTTTTCTTCCTTTGACACCACTACTATTTTGTACTATCTTCACTTCCTAATCAATGTTTATTTAGAAGATTCTGAAAATATGTGAACCAAGAACAATGGCCGTCCTGGGTAAGACGATAAACTACATTCAGCAGCAAGGCCTCTGATCAGGAGCTTTTGAGGAGAATGGAACCACCTCTTAATTACTGGTGTTCCCAGGTCCAACCTGACCCGGGGTGGTAATACCTGTTAGGGTCCTAGCTATGGGCAAATATTTAACTATTACCAGCAATATTTTTTTGATAAAAAAATTATTACCAGCAATACAATTTTGAAGGAAAAATATTACCAGAAACAGATATTTGACAAAAATATTTCCAGCAATAAAACATGTTGTTGGCATTAAATAACCCATTGAAGTGTTGATATGCTGTAAAACAAAATAAATCAAACCAAGAATAAAAAATTTATCTTTTTATAAAGATTTATTATTTATCATTTTATAAAAAATAAATTTGAAAAGAAATTTTATTCAGAATTTTTAAAATTACCAAAATATGTAAATCATGTACAATGCAATATTTATTATTTACCTTTTTATAAAATATCTATGAAAACAAATTCATAATTTTATAATTTATTATTTATTTATTTTAATTTGTATTATCAATGAATGGTTGCATGAAAGAAATGCCAGGAAAAAATGCTTTTTTTTTAAAAAATTAACAATTAAAGTTACTCGTTATGTTTATTTAAATTTTTATGTTTGACATATTTTTTTTCATAAAGTTTTGAATAAAAATGTTTTCATATTTATTTCTTTATGAATTGATAAGTGATAAACATTGCATTGTATTATGTAGTTGATTCACATTTTTAGAATGTTGTAAATATAAAATTATTCTTATAAATAAATAATCTAATAAATCAATAGTGTTTAATAATTTTGTTGTAAAACCTCAAAGAACAAAAAAATTGTATAAATACACCTTCATATGTTTGGGTTGATTAAAATCCTAATTATCACTTTTTAAAATGAGCATTGCTGACGGAATGAAAGTAGTTAAAATAATAGCGGTGTCAAGGGAAAAACATGTCCTTTTGACAAACAGTTCTGTTGTAGGAATGAATTATTTCTATCTTCTCCTCAAGGCAAAGATTGCATTGTTTTGATGTCTTGTCGTAAGCTAGTACTGTTTTTCCTATTCCCTATGTTAAGCAGATGATAAAAATGGCATGAGCTTAGAGTGTAATGCCATGATTAGTGTGACCAAATGTAACCTTACAGATGCAAGCATTTGTGGTAATGTTCAGGTCAGAATTCTTAGTCACAACAGCCACATCAAATATTGTAACTGACAGGCTTGTTTTTCTGCTCTCTGGGTTGGTGATGTTCTGGACAGGAGTCTCTTCCATCCATATTGTGTTTAGGTGTGACAAAGTCTCCACCTCAGGGTTGAAACATCACAAGCCCAAAGCAGCCACATGTCACACAAAACCAAAGTTGGAAGAGTCCTGAGATTGATCAAAGTCTTGAAATGATGACAAAGAAATGTGGAATGCCTTAACAAGATTTTAACAAAATGTCATTTATTTTAATTGTTGGTTAAATAGGCATTTCAACTCGTCTCTTCCTTTCCACAATTCTAATGTTTGACCTGAACTTTGAACTGCTTGTTCACAACTATGATGATAATAGAACAACAGTATTATGTGTCGGTTTGATAATTCTCTTATTTATTTGCAGGGAGGGTTGTTCATTTATGACTATTTTTCTTGTATCCCTATTATGTGGGTGGTGTAATGGATACTAGCTTGGAATACAAAATTGGAGAGCAGAGTTCAAATTCCAGTCAAGCATGTTACATTCACTTACATACAAATACCCTTGGGAAAAGTATGAATCTATCTCGTCCCCCCAATTATGGGTTAAATAGTGGGACTTGTATCTGGAAAAAATCATTGTTACTCAAAAAAAAATTATTAATTCAAAAAAAGAATTATTCCTACAATCCAAAATATGTTTTGGCTTTAAATGACCTGTAAAGGGTTGATAAACCATAAAAAATAAATCAGTCCTAATTTTAATACTTGACAGTTGTACGCAGGGTTATGAACTTTGAATTGTCCAGTTACAACTATGATGATGATAGAACAGCAGTAATGTTTCAGTTAATTCTCTTGCTTATCTGGAGGTCGGTTCTTCACGTCACTGTTCCACTCATATTTTGTATGTCACTTTCATTTTTTTTTTTTCTGGCAGTCTTAGCAGTACTCTCTATTTCTTCTCTGTTACCTCCTGCCTTAGTTGATTTGTTGCAAATTGGACTTCCAGGCATAGGACCGTCTGAGGAGGGGGGTCGGGATCAAGACTTTCGAGTCCAACTGTCAACATGAAGAGAATCTGAGGTGTGCTGTCAGAAGGGCCCGACCCACCCATCTCCATCTGCCACCCATATTTCTCTGTGATTCCTGCTCATGACCGTTCAGGAGTAGGCTGGGCTTTTAAAGCTCTCACTGTCATCACCACCAGAGGAGACATAGGGAATAAGTCATCCTGAGGAAGACGTTAAACTACGTCCGTGTCCTGGGTAAGACGATAAACTACATCCAGCAGTAAGGCATATGTTCAGGAGGTTTTGAGCAGTGTGGAACCACCTCTTAGTTGCTGATGTTCTCAGGTTCACCCTGCCCTAGGGTGGTAGCACCTGTTAGGGTCCCAAAGGGAATAAAGACAGTGGATTACAATCCTGATGCTTAGATGCCAACAACTTGATTTGCATTTGCTTATATTAGAACATAACCTAACAGCTTGTTACAGTTATGCATTGGTATGTTTTGATCATTCATCCTAAGATTTTCTTTTTCTTCTACAACCGCCTGATCTGTTATTATATTTGTTCAAGTTTCTGATAACTGATTTCTCAAAAACCATTCTCCATATAAGATGTTTAGCAAATAACTGTAAACTGTTCAGTCTATCAACTTGGGCCGAGTCTTTTTTTTTTTTTATAAAGAAACTAGTTCAATGGCTAAGTCTTTATTTAAATGACTTTATCTCTGAAGAACACTTGAGATTATTTTTTTATATCAGCTGAAGAAACAATTTATTGCTTGTCATCATTTTCCTCAAACTTAGTAAGTGTAGAGAGAGGTATATAAGTTATATTAAGTTATCTTTAAGTCTTAAGTACTTTTCACCATATCCAGTTTCTTAAACTGCTGTATCCTGTTTGGGGGCTTTAAATTTCTAAATCCATTCCACTCTCTGTTGCCAGAGATATTCAATTTGTTTGTGCAGAACAATGATTCCATTCAGGCTTTGGTTTAGTCCTTGGATAAATAAGAGATGTTAAATCCTTGTTAATAAACATGAGTCAAATGCAGTTAAGTTTTTATTTTTTCTTTATTATCTGAATTTGTTGTGTGACTGCAGATTTCTTATATAAATCCTACCTGTGATATTATTGATTACTTCGAACATGACAACCCTGGTTCTCCATGTAGTCAATCTGTCGTTCTAGTGCTACTAAAAAAAAAACAAAAAAAACAAACAATATTCTTGGAGTCATCAGTTGGTTATGTTTTTGATCTTCACAGCCATCACTTGGCAACATCAGCAAACTGGGAGGTAACCAGATTCGACAGGAATTTCACCCCATGGTCATTGTCATTCCTGCTGAGAATTCATGCGTGAAAACTCTGCAGCTATGGTAAATTCTTTGTCTATACTGAAAACAGTAGCGGACAAAGGGGTGCAATGCATCCCTCCATCTGATGGGATGTGGATGGGGTTTCAATCAAAGAGTGAAATAAAAGTTGTTTATATTTAAATTATTTATTGAATAAAGTGTTTATTTCAGGTTTCATTTTTTCTCATGTTTCTCAGTGCTGCCTTCCACCCCCCAACCCTTGAGTTTTAGGGGCATACAAACATCACCAAACCTCGGCATGTCACTGACTGAAAACCAATTTCACAACAGAAAACAAAGTTAGGTTTGGACTTGTCACTTTTCTTCTTGGAAACCTCTGACCAAGACAGCACCCTTTTAATAATTTGCTTGTACCTGCAAGTAGTAGTAGTAGATGTAATAGCTTAAGTTGTTCAAATTTTTTTTATATTATCATTATTTCTTTTCTTTGTTGCTTTTATCAATCATGCTTCATTTAAGACCATCCTGTTAAAATATGTTGTTATTATTACATCTGTTATATTTCTTTGTTTTTAGCCTTTCCGTCCTTTCATTATCACAAAAGATCAATTACAAAAGAAAGTGATTGGTGCTGGTTATCCAAGTTTACCGACAATGACAGTCGAGGAATTCTATGAGCAAAAAGTCAAAGATGGAACATTTCAGCTTCCAACGTGAGTTTCAATTTGTTTTTTTTCCTAAGCAATTTCAAATTTTTTTGTGTTTATTCAATTCAGAACATAATTCATAAAAAAAATGTTCATTTTAGAGATTTTTGTTTTGCAGTTGAGAAAGTGAATGAAAACCGAATTTTCTTCTTGTTGAAAATATTTGATATTTCCATTGTTTGTCCCATACCAATTTGTATGTTTCATATACGAAGTGTTTATACAAATGTAACAATTATTCTGGGACAGAGTTGTTTGTATGGATGGCGTAATGGTTATCAGCATGGAAAATGGAATTGGCATGCCAAATTCAAATTTTGATTAAATCTATTTAATTCACTTTACACTGATGCCATTGGCAAAAGTGTGAATCTTTCCTTTATTTATGGGTTAAATAGTAGAGTAGACTGGGCTGTCTTGCTTTGGTTGGCAGCCAGCCTTGAAGGATGATCTCTGTCAGTCTCTTACCCTAGACTCACTTGCTGTTGCTATGGCTACAGTACATGTGATGCCCCAGGCCATTACATCCTTGGTGTAAACTAGTATTTTATAAATTCAAATTGCTAACAGTAAAATAACTTGCAAACTTTGGTTTCAAACATGAAATGAAAATTTTTTGGTATTAAACTCATGAAATGTACTTTAGAAAATTTATTCAGTGTTTTTTTTGTGTGTGTGTGTGTTCTGAAGTTGTTTTATGTTCCATCATTGCTTTCCTAAGAATAGCTGATGCTATTTTGCCTGTGACGTCAAAAATAATGGCAATTGTTGGAAAGTTTTAATCATGAGATGCAATGTATTGAGATAAAGAATTCACAATTAAAATAAAAGCCAATAAACAGTTTAATTAATCCATTCCCTTTATATTTCTTTTATTTTTTTTTTACACCTTCAATCGCATCTATGATTCATTGATTACTCCTGGTATTATATAAGTCACTTTTCACTCAATATCTTTCTATGTTAAACATTTTACATGTTTAATATAACACTGAAATGGAAATATTGATCGGAAGACAGTGATGACAAAGCATATTTCAAAACCAAGTTGAAGCAAAACAATAGACAAAGGTATCTAGTGTCTCACATGAAAAGCTTAAACAAATAAGACTGCAATCAAAGTTTCATATGAGTAAAGGAACTGATTAGTTAAATGGTTCATTTTGCTTGGGAACTAATTTTGTCTAAATGCAGACATTTTATTTGCATAGATTAAAACAACTAAGGGAAGTAATCATTCATAAATTTACTAACTTAAATTGATTTACCTCCCTTCCAACTACAGCTAGGACAGTTATTTGAACAATAAATATTAAAAAATTAAAATCTTCAGACACATTGGGTTGTATATTAATATTACTTTGTTTTTATTATTATTTCATTTAGATTCCTCGGCTAGTTTCGGCCAACATGGCCATCATCAGGAGAAAAATAATTTTCTGCTTGCTGGTAGCAGTGAAGTACAGAAATGAATGTCTTGATGGAGAAAATGAACTTTTGCCTGTAGTTTTCATTTGTTTCTTATTTTTTTTAACATGAATTTTGGTCAGTCCTTGTGTTGGTGAAACAGTCTCTTAAGTTGTTATTTAAGATAAAGGCTGGATGGATTCATGCTGCTCTGAATTCTCTTGATCATTTTGAGTTTTATTGGTTCATGGAAAGAGGATGTATCTCTTAAGTGTGTGTGTGTTATTTGGTTCTTAGAGAGGGAGTGAGTGAGTGAGTATGATGTGTGTATATTCATGTGGGTGTGTGTATAAGTGTGATGCCTCAACACCTCCGTAAGCATGTCTGTCTTGTGTGGGTGAGAAATGTGGGTAGGTTTTGATTTGTAGGGTTATATATTAATACTATCTATATTGTTAAATTTATAGTTAAGCTCGGCTGGATAGTGCGTTTTTTAAACATTGTATCCACTTTATATATATATATAATGCACATTGAAGATGATTATTTTTATTTTTTATGTGTGTATCCAGTGGATCCAGTCTTCAAGATTGGGCAACAGATCCAGACAAAACCTCAAAGGATAAAGAAGAAGAAGAAAGAAATGAAGAAGCAAAAATTGAGAAAGACGATGCTGAGAAACTTTCCAAAATGCGGAATTGGGATGATTGGAAAGATGGTGAGTTTCATGTGTTCCCTTGTTTTCAATTATCTTGTCACTGTTCTTGGTCCCCCATTTCAGATTAGGCAGACAAACCTGCTAGACACTGGTCTGTATTGTACAAGTAGAGTATCTATCTGCAATTGAGGGGGAATGTGGCACAAGGCCATGTTTAAAATGGAAATTGTAACAACTCCCCTCTCTATTAAGACACTTCAAGCACTGAACTTTGACCCCACTCTTCAGCCTATTTGGAGGGGGGCTCCTGGATCTGAGTATTACTTTTTTTTTTTTCTTTTTCTTTTTTTTTTAATTAATCAAACTGTAATTGGATGAAAGAATTGATTGATCCAAAAATTCAGTTCCTACCAGAAACTTCTTTAAAAATAATTTTAAAATTCTTGAATGATTTTCTTTTTTTTTTATTTGTCTTGCCAGATGTCCGTCGTGGTGATGGGAATCGGATGAACATGGGCTGAGAGCAGAGATTTCAAGCAAACATTGTTATCATTCATCGTTCACCTGAAACTTGTGATGCCAGTCAATCAGGCTGTGTCACAAAATTGCTGTTATTGCTTCCCCCAAAATCTTTCATCTTCATTAGATAAGAAAATTGTCATTACCAAAATTCACTAACTTTCAAAAGAAACCTGTAAACAATGATGAGAAATTGGTTGGTCAAAAATTTGTCTTGTAAATAATTTGTTTGATGCTATTTCTAAAAACAAGATATACCAAATAAAGAAATTCATGATTTCCTGATGTACGCATCAGAAATAAAATCAAATCCTTTTCTGGTGCATTTTTTTTTTTTTTATTAGTTATTTCTAATAACAATTGAAATAATGTTATCAGGTTTATAATAAGAGAGCTGAGTTTGAATTCCAGTCGGGTTTGTTACATTCATTTACATGCCAATACTTTTGGGAAAGGTATGAATCTAGACTCCCCAGCTATAGGTTAAATAGTAAAACATGTCAGGAAAAAAACAATTATTGTTCTCAAAACATTGTTAAAGCAATATTTACAAAATAATTCTTATTCATAAAATCCAGAAAATGTTTTGACTTCAAAATAACCTACAAAAGATTGATTAGAAAAAAAAATTATCGTCAGGTGTATAATTTAATTGACCAGCAATATACTTTTTGTTTTATGTTCAGCAGCTTTGTCAAAAATGAAATTCCACATTTGCTTGGACCGTGATAAAGACCAGGAATTGATGGGGAAAGATCTGTTTCTGGAGGAGGGTGAACATATATTGCCTTCTGTCTAGAAAATTGACAGGCTCAATTGCTGATGAATGGGGCAGTTGAAAAAGGACAACATAAGTTTGGTTAAGATGGATTTCAACACCACAAAAGTGTTGGGGGGGGGGGGCGAGGAATTTCACCTGTCTCTGGACAATTCCAATCATAGAATGAGATACATGGGTAATGACATATAATGACATCTGTGTAACTAAGAACTGCCTGGATTGTACAACTGAATGGGGAATAGAGAACAGATTGGCTGAAATGTATTAACAGCATCAACAACAGGCTCAGGGTTTTATCACGATATCAAGGACTTCTCAATGCAGAACCTCTTCTGGTCTAGGCTAGAATTGGTGTAAAAAGAGAGGATAACAAAGAAATGAAGACAATTTAATAGGAAATTCCTTGGTTTTATTGTAAAATGTCAATAGTGTTGCTGTAGTACAAAAAGAAAAAAAAAAAAGACAAAATCTTCCAAGAAGCATTTTGTCTATCAAAGGTTAAATGATGGATTTGGGAAAAATAAAAATTACAGCAATTAATATAAATAATGAAAGAAATAAATACAATTTGACAGCAACAAATAACTTGAAAAAAAAAACGATCACCTTTACAGCACTGTACATATTAGAATATAATACAAATAATCTATGGTTAGTAAAGAAGTCGAGAATCAAGACTTTCTTTCCACCTTTTATAGTTGCTTTATGATCAGGTAAGAATGGAAAGTTTTATTTGTAAAAAAAGCAACGTGTTTTGTTTTTTTTTTATGAATAAAACATTTTGAGACAAACAAAAAGTTATTAAATTTTGTACTTTTTTTTTTTTCTTACGACCGTGTCATATTTGTTGATCCCCACCCAAGTTCTTTAAAGATATAATAATTAACATTTACAAATATACAAAAAAAAAAAAACCCCAAAAAACCCAAATTTTCTCTCGAAAAGGAAATATTCTCATTATTTGCACTGTTGGCCTTGTCTTATCTTTGTTGTTCTCACAACGTTTCGAGTGGAAATAATGATGAAGTCCACATTCCAAGGAATTTAGACAGAGACAAGAGTCTCATTTGGAATATTTTCTTTTCTTCAATTAATATCACATCTCAAAAACCAATTCTTTTAAAAAAGGGTTGGTGAAGTTACAAGACTGGAAGTAAAGCAATTTTCATTTTGATCACATAACCACTTCCCTGAGTAAGCCTGGATAAAATTCTTCTGAGGTTATTTTCAGCCCTTCTCCAAATAACATTCAAAATATTTGGGGAAATAAATCACTTTTGGAGATGTGATATTAATTTTAAAAATTTCTTAAAGCTTTTTTTTTTTTTTTAAATACTCTCCAAATATTTGCATTTCTGATGAGCAATGCAAAATTGAGGTTTGTGTGTGTGTGTGTGTGGAAAGCAGACTAATTAAGGAGGAATGGTTTTTGTTTGTTTTGTGGTTCAGACAATACTTTTAGAAGATATGCCAACTGTTCTTTTCAAAAATAAAATAAATAAATAAAAAGAGGTGTGTGTCGGAGGGGGGGGGGATTTGTAGCCGGGATTATGTGTATCTGCCAAGCACCATTGTCTGCATGAAGGGAGCAACCTGAAAAAAGAAGAAAAAAAGACATTGTAAAATTTCAGCACGTACGTTAGGCAAAAAATTCAAGTAAACAAGTCTAATACATTTAAAAATGTCATGGTGTACAACAACTTGAAAATGAGTAAATCTTTGTTACATGACAAAATGAAAAATTAACGCCCGATTCAGGGGCCTGAAGTAGCCTCCTCTCCAGTTATGGAGAGACTGACATGAAACTAGAAAGGCTCAGATCCCTTTTTTTTTTTCCTCCTTCAAGACATTTCAGAAAGGAAAGAGTGATGGACATGTCTGTCATGCAATTCCAAAGCTGTCGTGTAAATTTGCGAGGATCTGGTAAAGTGACGGGGAAGAATTAACAGCAGAATTTATCCCAAGGATCACCTACCTACCTACCTACCCACCCACCTGAATCAAATACCTACATACCATGTGCAATGGGTAAAATGTTGCCATTTTAATTTTGCACATGCACGTTATTCTGCACAGTATAGTAGGGTCAGTTGGGCACCGTCTGCCGAGAAAAAAGTGCACCATGACAATTCACTCTGCTAAAAAATTTGGAAACAGCATGCTCTACTGCTTGGCATTCACGATGGAAACTCCGATACGAACATTTCAAAGTGTTTGGGTGTCAATCTGAAGACAGTGCAGAGGATTCTGAGAAAAGAAGTCCCGAATTTGTTTGTGAGGGCCTCAGACCCAACACGGAGGCCTACATCATGTTCCTTGAGGAGGTAGTGCTACCCTGGCTCAAGAGGGTGGCTGATGGAGGACCTTATGTCTGGCAACAGGACTGTACCATAGGAGAACCCAGTCATGGCTGTCAGACAATTTCTGCAACCACATCACCCTTTACATCTGGTCACCTACCCCCCTCTATTATTATGTGTGGACTGAGAAACCAACAAAACTCCTTGTAACACCAAAGATGAAATGAAGGCAATGATTAAACAAGGAGACTGTCCAGAAGAGCTGCTGAAGATTTCTAAGTTGTTTGGGGGCCATGGTTAAAGCCAGTGGCGATTTTATTGAATAAATTTACTTTTTAGTATTTCAAAATATTTTTGCTTGATTTTGGTAAATATACCTGTTAAAATGAAGTGTCATTTTCATTTTTGCGTCATTTAGATGACAATTTATCCATCACACACCCTGTATAATATGGGAAACTGGGTTTGGGTACTTATTTCTTGATGTTCTGTTTGTCTTTCATTTTCTTACTTTGTGAACATGCAGCAGGCCCCTTCCCAGTTTTCAGTACACAACAATGAGATCGAGCAGCGGTATAAGGATAAAAAGAAAATTAATTGTTCCTCAAGAAAAGGAAAATTAATATCATGTATATAATGAAAGTACTTTCAAACATTTGGCCTATTAATATCTGGGGGTGGGTTGGAACGAAGACATGTTTGGCATGCAATAGTGACAGATGGAAAATGGTACTGACCTCTTCTATATCACCAAGTGCATCTGTTATCATTTTCTCTATATTTCTCATTATAGCAATTTTCTGGGATGTGTTCAATGGATATGTGATGCTTTCTTCAAGATAATTCTGAAAGGTTAAAAAAAAAAAAGAAAAAAAAGTTGAATTATATCAGGAAAAAAAAAAAAAAAAGTCAAATTTTAAAATTTGGAGAAGCCGCCAAAAAAAGAAAAAAAAATTAAAATTAAAACCAGTCTTACTTACTCTGACCTTATACCAGAAATTTATTGAAACTGTGACCCCCTTTTTTGGTAAAGATTCAATTTGGTGCCACCTGCAAAAAGAGAAATCATGGATAGTCGTCAATCATTAAATAGAAGCCAAAAAGACAAGAAAAATCACAAAAATTCAATACTTTAAGTTTTCGGTAAGAAAAATGTTACCTCTGAATGATGAAAATAAAACATTTACAGTTTTGAGACTGTGTTCTCTAGCTGTGGTTGGCAAGCAGTCTACCCTGCTATTTAATTCATAGCTGATGCAAGAGATAAATTCCTACCTTTCTCAAGTGTGAAATTGAATCTAACAAACTCAACCAGAATTCAAACTTGGCTTTCTAATTTATTGGTCTGAAGTGCTAACCATATGAACATTTATTATATATTTTTTGTATTTTCCAGCTTGGAAGACACAACCTAATATTGGAAAGAAATTTCTAAGAAAAGAAAAAGTAATTCCCATACAACAACACATTTACCATGTATCGCTCACATACTGGTGCCACGTATTGTTTACATTAATCATATGTCTGATCTTGTTTAATCAAGAGCAGAAACGCTCCAGCTGCTGCTAGTAAACAGAGCATGTTTAAGCTTGTGGCTTGGCACCAGGAAGGTTTATAGTCTTGGAAATACTTGTAACAGCTTAGTACTGAAGTTATATCATATAAAATACTGAATTAGATAAATAGCTAACATTATGGTGTAATGACAACATACAAATCCATGTCACTATCGGTCAAGTCAATTACGTGACATACATATATATATATATGTATGTATATAAATTCAATATCTAATAAAAGTGATATTTCCCAAAAAGAACAGTTAAATTAAGAGTGGTTAATACAATTTTCAAAAAACGAAAATATGGGGCAAGTTACGATCTAAAATATTCTGGTAAAAAACTATGGTAGCATAAAGATCAGTGTTTGAAATGTTTTATGTCTGATTAAATAAATTACAGACATTGTCTTATTTTTAATAAAATTTGTTCATACTCATGAATAACCTTCCGCGTATTGTAATCAAATGATGTGAGAAATGTGCTATAACTATGAAAATCGTTTTTATTTTCCCTTTCCCAAATACTTTCGATCTACTTCTGGAGATCATCTTCAGGGGTGTATGTAATAATACAAAACAACTATCCTACATCAAGGAAACAACAAATTCAAACTACAGATCCTCGAAGCAATATACATTAAAAAATTAAAGTTGTCACTTAGTAGAATCAACTACGAATACTGTAGTAATGTTCTAAAACGTCTATAAAAAGAAAAGATTTTCACACTTTAATGTGCATATGACCATGACATTACAACACAGAAGAAAAAATTCCATCATTTTTTCCTATTCTAATGAACACTAAGCAGGACTGTCAACCACTGCATTTGAAAAATTATAGTAATGGATATCAAAAAACAGTTTTGTTTTACTATTTGCACCGGTGAAAAACACACAGTTTTGTATTATAACAGTGGAATTTTACTCTGTCTGTTCTTTCTCTTTCATATATATATATATATATATATATATATATATATATATATGAGTGATGGATTTTTATTTATTAATCCAACATATTTAGTGGATACACATATTTGATTAGATGCTATGTTTATTTATTAAACAGTATATTTATTTAATTTCTTCAATCGGCTTAAATATTCAAGGATTCTTAGTGAAGAAAAATAAGGTCTCTCTGGCAGGATTCAAACCTGCGTCTTGGCAGGAGAAACAGTCTCTAGAACCAGCATGCTATATGCCAGTCTAAAGCATGCATGTTCTAATGATGACAAATGATTTTAGACAAATTCTACACCCTAGCTCAATAACCTTGTCGTAGATTGAGAACAAGAAAATAAATTTAGTTGTCTATTTAGTTTTCAGTTCCAGCAAAAGATGAGGCAGCTGAAAGTTCCCCCACAAGCCTTTATTTGGGGAGGGGGGGTCGTGGATGGCTTATTTTTGTACAATTGGAGAGAATATACCTGCATTAGCAAAACCTATTTTCCTAATGCAACTGCCTCAACCACCAACTACAAGCTGAATCATTGTAATTCGGATATTCATCTGACAGTCAAAAAACTAAGATTGGTGATTTTTTTTGGGTTTTTTTTTTGGCCTACTTTCTCCCACAACCCTTACTCTTCACTTCGGAGGAAGTAACGACTTATTATAAATGGCCTGATTAAAATCTTGTCTAATATAGATTGTTGGAAACTTGTACAGGAGTTGGGGTGGGGTGCAGGTAAATAAAGGATATCTGCAATTATGACTAGAATTTGGACTGACGTTCACAGCTGGAATGGGTACATGTGCTTTTGGACAGATAATATACAAGGGGGTGCTGAAAAATAATCGGCCTGTTACACTTTCTCAAATCTGCGCATTTGTTTGTTCTTTCAGATTTTCAAATTCCTTGAAAAAGAACTTTACTGCATGACCAACCCCAGCCCGCCCCCACACACACACATTTCAAGCAAAGATGTAAAGTGAAAGAGTAAAGAAAGAAATTAAACTGACGATATATCTCAGTGGCTACAGAATTAAACGTTATTTAGTCATTTTAGCTGGAAAAGACTCCACTCTTTTTCATTTAGGTAAAGATGCCTGTTTGCAAAGATGATTTTATGTGCTTCTATCAGAATTTAATTCCAAACACTGAGATGGAATAAGGCCAAAGAGAAAAAGGGGTGGATATTTTTCAAGTCTTCAACTTGTCATAAATGTTCATGGGTGGATAAGAAAATCCACAATTGTATAACGGAAAATTATGCAAACATGGAGTGACAAATGCCCTTCCCTCATCATTCTTGAACAAATGGTGTGCCAACTTCCAGTATCGAGATTTTAAGACCAAATATCTAACAAGGTCTTGGAAGCTTTCAGTGGCATCAACTCTTAAAATATCAGATCATGCACAATTATCAAGACATTAGAGATATCCAGAAAATGTATAGAGTTTATAATTGATGAGCAGTTAGAGATGCAGAGGCTGTCATCTAAATTAATGTCAAAAATATCTGAATGCTAACCAGAAACAATATTAAGTTGACATCTCCAACTTGTGATCAGTTTTTGAAATGACTTGTTCATACTGACAAAGTATGATTATGCAATTATAATTGAGAGAAAATAAAAAAAAAAAATAAAAAAGGGTGCCAGCCTTTGACAGCCACATGGCATCTTTATGGCCAATAAAATTAAAGAGTTAAAAGTCAGCAAGCAAATTCAAAATTTATTGCACAGAGAAAGGAATATGGATGATTGATCTTCAGAAGGGACAAATAGTTACAAGCAGAATCATCTGGTCTGCTACTGCTATGTATCAAGAGATTCTTGCGAAAATCAAAAAAAGAATCTGTAATGTTATTAGTCCTGACCTGGCACCTCAGCTTCAGTCAGTTTCCCACTGCCATAATGTAGATTCTCTGTAACTCTTCTATAAATAATTTCATAGCAATTGTTCTGTTGAGCTTTCCTCTTTGGCATCTCGATTTTATAAATTTAAGCATAGTACAAGATTTGATCATTGTACAATTGAAATGGCTGGATGGAACTGTAAGTTCTACATTAAGAGTATCTTCTCTCAAGCTTCTCACTTGTGGAATTTTATTCCAGGTTCTTGCTTTCCTGTTAACTGTGATGTTCAAAATTTTAAAGACCATATCAACCGTTGTCATCTGTCCCCTTCCACTCTTTTATTGCTCTCTCTCCATAATAATGTTTTCTCAATTCCTTACTTAGACTCAAGGAGGGTAAGATTACCGAGATTGCAACTTTGTTGCCTTGCTTGCAAAGGGTTAAAGAAACATGAGAATGTGTGTTGAACTAATGGTGGGGTTGGGCATGGGGATTTGCATGGCTTTCATTCATCCCTGCTTCTTGGTCAGGCTCAGAGCTTTTCAGTAGCCCTCGTATAAATAAAAATGATTTAGTAATCATCCTCATCTTTGGCAACATTTTTCTTTGGTCTTTGAAGAAAAAATTTTAAACTAATATATATATATATATATATATATATATATATATATATATATATATATATCCAATGATGAAATTATTCATACACCCATCAATTTTAAATATTTTTATCCATTTCTCAGAATAAAATGCCCATATGATACCAGGTTTTTTATATGTTTTAAGAAGCACACAAAAGATGGAATATAAAACTCAAATTTTCAGAGGTTAAATACAACAAATTTGACAGGCGAATTATGCAAAATAGGAAAAGACAAAATTATTCATACAGTAGAAAAATTAGAAAACCTTGAACAATTTTCACAATATTAATAGTTAATAGCATGGCCTCTCATCTTTATAACTTGTTGCAATCGTTTTCTAAAGTTTTTATAAGATTTGAACAAGTCTTTTCTGGGATTTTATTCCACTCTTTGATAGTTACACATTCTAATTCCTAAAGGTTTTTTTAGTGACTGATGATTTATTCAAACTTTCAATTCTTGCCATAGATTTTCAATAGGATTCAAGTCAGGACTCATCAAAAGCCATGCCAAAACTGTAATCTTTTTCTGAAGCCATGCAGTCACTGATTTAGACGTATGTTTGGGATCATTATTTTGCCAATCTAGATGAAGATTTTGCGCTGATGTAAATTTTCATCCAGAATTTTGATATAGACTGCAGATTTCATTATTCCTCTTATTGCAATTAATTGTCCTGTCCTACTTGAGCTAAAACAACCCCAAAACATCATCGGGCTGCCTCCATGTTTTAATTTTGCCCTGTCTTTTTTGGGAGGAAAGCTGCACCTTTCTTTTGCCAAATCTTCTGTACATCATTATGTCCAAAAACCTCAATTTTTGTTTCATCACTCCATAATACTTGTTCCCTAAAGCCATTTTCCTTGTCCAAGAACGTTTTGGCAAAATTAAACTGAGCAACAATGTGACATGGTTTATGAAGAGGGGTTTGTCATTGTCAGTTTCCATACAACCCATTTCTATTTAAACAATGTTGTATTGTGCAAGTACTTACGCTGATACCTATCATATCCAAACTTTTGGTGATGTCTTTCAAAACAACTCTTGGGTTTATATTAACCTGGTCAGTTTTCATGCAGTTCTTGGTGATAATTTGGGTTTTCTTCCACATCCAGGCAAATTTTCTGTCATACCAAACTGTTTAAGCCTCTTTATAATGGAATGTATTGTAAATCTTAGGATAGCTAACCGGTTTGAAATAGTGCTGTAACTATTTCCTAACATGTGGAAGTTAATAATTCTGTTTCAAATCAATGCTAAGCTCCTTTGTCTTCCCCATTGTATTGTTAACGTAAGAATAACAATGGTGACACTCTATGCATCACATGATGTTCTTTGCTGAAATTATCACAAATCTTCTACTGAATAAATAATCTAGAAGGCTTCACCAATAAAATAATTATATAAATTACTTACACGAATCAATCAATTTAAAACGATATTTTCTACTGTACAAATAATTTGGTCTTTTCCTATTTTGCATAACTTGCCTGTCAAATTTGCTGTATTTAACCTATTGTTTTGAAAATTGAGTTTTATATTCTGTTTTTTATGCTTATTAACTTATAAAAAAGTTGGCATCATGTGGCCATAGATTCTGAGAAATGGATAAAAACTTTTAAAATTGATGTGTGCACAAATAATTGCGTCATTGGATGTGTGTGTGTGTGTGTGTATATATATATATATATATATATATATATATATATGTTTATGTCCAATGACCGTAAGAATTTCAAAGAAACTGTTGAATGGAAAATTCCTCACCAATAGACTGGAATATACAAAACATCTCCAGGTTCCAAGATTGTATGCATTCCTTTAAGTTCAGCAGCTTTGGGGAATTTTTTCAAGTTCAGATTTTCCAAATTTACCTGAGGAAAAAAAAAAAATTTATCAATTGACAGAATTTCTGCAAGAACTTCAAATTTCTGTTTGATTCAATATATCTGTGTGTGTACACAAACACTTAAGAACCCAACAATGCCAGATCATGACAATAAGTTTTAAAGACTAACTCCTGACACGGTTAGACTATATGTAGTGCAACCAGTATTTAGCCACAAACAACTCAGTCTGCATTCATTATCGTAAATTGGGTCAAAGTATAACAGTAAAAACAGAAAGGAATTTTTTAAGGAATATTTTCTTTGAGAGAAATCTTTGAAAATGAACACTTTCATTGAGGCATAAATAATTCCCCTTTTTTTTTTTTAGAATGTTTATTCTCCAAAAAAGTTAAGTAAAATTTATTCAATTCTATATTCACCATTAATTGCAATGTCTTGTTGCCAATTATCAGGTGGCTCTTCAATACATTTTGATTAAAGTTCCACAGGTCTTGATGTGAAAGATTTTTCAATGAACGCTTAAGTCAGGTTTTTATCAAAGAAATTTTTTCTCCAACAAAGTATTTTGCAATAATCGAAAAAGGTAATAACTGGCTGGTCAATAAAGGTCAGGTGAATATGGCAGCTTTAGAACAGACCAATCAAGCTCTAAAAATGATTTTCTCTGTATCGTTATTCTTGCTGTATGTGTGTCTTGGAGGAGGAGAACATTTTTTTCTATTGACAGGCACAGGACACTTTTCAACCAAACTTTTATGGACACATTGCAGCTGCTGAGCATATAAATGTGCTTTAAGGGCTTCACTGCATTAAAAACAAAAAACTCTAAATGAAGAATACCCTGATGATCTCTGCAAATGTAGAACATTACCATTCTTTCACAAAGTTCAGTCATATGCATTGAACATTGTCATATGTTGGTCTTCTCCAAATTTATTCTTAACCTATTGTGTATGATTATTTAGTAGTTAGGTTGATATATTTGTCATTACAACAGGTGACCCCAAAAGAGAAATTACCTATGAATCTATCCAATATATAATTTGTAGCTTTTGATATTATTGTATACCTGATATAAAGCCTAATTTTTATTTAGACTGCTATCTATATATATATATACACATACACACACTGGAAAAATTTGTCCTTAATCAATAAATAATTGAAAAAGCCAAATGAATTATGTTGTCATTTACAAACTATTCAAGACAGTATTTCTTCCCACCCCCATGTCATGCTTGCCAATTCCAAAGCATGTCCCCCAAGTGGTAGGATACAATTCAGAGTCAGTCAGTCAGTTATGTGCCATGCGTAATACACGCTTAGGCGATCATGTATCTTTCGATACATGACTGACGAGGCAGATTTTTTTCCTGCAGTAAGTTGCCATTTCTTTCTGTGGTAGACCAGTTGCCATCCAAGGCAATAGAACCCAGTCTGTCCTACTATTTAGCCATAGCTGGGGGGAGAAGAAGAGGATTCATACATTTCCCAAGAGTATCAGCACATAAGTGAATGTAATAGATTTGACTGGAATTCGAACTCAGCTTTAAAAATGCAATGTCAAGGAGTAAATTAGATTTTTATGTGTACGAGACAGAGAGGCAAAGGATTTAAAAAGATTATTCTATTTTTTTATGCAGTCCTGACAATGCACATGTTATGCAGCTAAGGAAAAGACCGTTTGCATTGACTCGATGATCCCGACCAGGTCGAATCCTTAATAGACTGGGTTCTATAGCCTTGGTTGGCAACTGATCTAAGAGAAGGAAAACTTAATTCAAAACTGTATTTAGTCATGGCAAAGAACATATTATGCTGCTAAGGAAAGGATCGTTTGCATTGACTTGAATGATCCAAACTACAGTCGACGTGTTTAAATTTGGGGAACCAAAGTTAGATTTTGTCTTCTGTTATTTAAACATGAAAATGTTTTCCATTGAATATCACCCAAATTGAGTTATTGAAATTCTGACATTTTGTAAATTCACAACATTTTAAGTTTGGGTCTTGGAGCCCAAATTCTGCAGGATCAAAGAATTTATTCTATGCTTCTGTTTATGGTAGTTGAAGTTTCCAGAGTGAGAAAGTAATCTCTTAATGTCAAGCCTTTGTTCTTTCACAGCATAGTATCAAAGTTTTTTTTTTTTTCACAGTAACAAGCCTTTTCCCGACGGTCTGGCCAAATATCTTTATTCTAAGCTTTCTCAGTCACATGTTCAATAAGGACTTAGAAGGATATTCAACATTAACAACATTCAATAGAAACCAACAATTTCACAAAGACGAAGCCTAAAGTATGTTTCTGCTTAATAATCTTGGGACACAACAAAACACATTTCAAAGACAAATTCTAATTTTCTTATTCTATGAGGAGAAAAACCAAAAATAATTCCTAAAATCTGTTGTAAACTGAAATTTTTTTTTTTTTTTATTCGTGGGGAGTGGGGCATTATAATCTTGTAAATTCACTCACCTGACTTTGTCTGTCATGTGGATGATGAACTGGAAAGGGATAAAGAGATTTGAATTGATCTGGAGAGAAAAGCACACACCGTTTATGACCTCTAACTTGGGCAAAGAAATTTTGTTGTTCGTCATAATGGACTGATGTTATATTGCCTGTAAAACAAAAACAAAAATAATTAAAGGAGGAGAAAAGGATTTTTTTTTTTCTGGTAAATTTTGTAAAATTTGTCATAACTCATTTCAGATGAAGAATTTATTTCTGATGAGTAAAATGAAGGAATTGGAATTGTTTTTATTTTTTTTATTTTTTACTTGACAGTCATCATTAAAAAATGGAGATTAAAAATTAAAAAAAAAAAAAGGTACTTGTGTGAATACCCTCCACCAAAAATTGAAGAATTTTTGTTCCTAGTCCAGGTGTATGCACTCAGGCTCCCCACATTAAACTCACCTTGTGTCACAACCTGACCTTGTGGGGAGTTGAGTAAATATAAATTACTATTAATGAGATTTGGGACTTTTTAACCCCAAAATATGTGTGAGAATTGTGCTCCAATTTTGCATTTATTCATATAAACAAGAGGTCACAGTATTGACAGCAATACAAAACCATGTTTAAGCTTGAAGGACAATACATGCCACCATTTTATGCATTTTTTCCTTTCTAACACAAAGGAAATATTTAAATGTGGTCACATTTAAGCAGATCAGCTAATAAAATTCACTGACATCCTAGCATGAATATTTTTCATGTCATATCAACTCTTAAGCTCAAACCAGATAAGAAACATTATTGACCTTGATGGGCTCAACTTAAGATTAAACACATATGTATCATTCTTTCCTGTTCTGTTGAATAAATCCTTTCAATACAAACAAAGAAAAGACTACTGAAATGTTATGTAATATCAGTCCTCCTATATGGCAGTGAATACTGGACAATCTCCTCACAGATGAAGAACATATTTGAGGCAAGAGAAATGTGGTTCTATCAAAGAATACTGAGGATACCATGGACTGAACATGTGAGCAACGACAAAGTTTTAGAGAAAATAGAAACAAAAAGGACACATATTTAAAGTTGAAATTTCCAGGGCACATAATGAGGAAAGAGAGCTTGGAAAATTTGACACTCACAGAACATATTGGAGGCAGGGACAGAAGAAAACAGTGCATAACCCCTGCTTAACATATCATCATAGTATGCAACCCTTGGTCCCTTCCTGTATGCCCTTAGAGCAGCCACATTTAGTAACCTTTACTTGCAAGCCTCTTGCTTCTCTGTCACTATTTTCATGGTAAATATTCAGGCGAACTACATTCTTTGGTTCCACCAGTTCAGACCTTCACAGCTTGGAGTCACCATGCAGCGTACACAGGGTTTGACTCATCCTCACTCCCTTCATATTGCATTGACAAGGAGGAAGTTCCACACAAACATTTTCTTCCCTGGAACTGGTGCAATGTGGAACCAACTTCTGAGGAGATGCTTCCCTGATTGTTACAATCTTAACCTCTTCAAATCTAGTGTCAATCGCTATCTATCATACATATCCTCATAATATGCTTCCCAACAACAACAACCTTATTTAGTAACCTAAAGTGGCTCTTGGGCCTTATACTGGGTGAAAAATAATTTTTAAAAATAATAACATTTAAACTAATTTGAAAGTTCCATCTTTCTTAAGAAAGATGTTTATTTTTTTATTATTCACCATCTCCATGCTCGGAAGGAAAGTGTGCAGAGTGTGGTCATCTAACCATATCACATAGGTTTCAGTAACCATGATTTGTGCAGCATTTTGAGGCCAAGGACATATTCCCCAGGTCCAACAACCAATATATTCCCCATATATTTGACCCTTGTGAATTTTTTCTCTTCAAAAATGAAATCCCACTTGAAAGGAACAAGATTTCCAGAAGTCAAGAAAATCCAAGAGAATATGACAAGGCAGCTGATCGTTATGGCCAAAAAAAGGAGCTCCAAGAATCCTTCCATCAATGCTGGATAAAGTGTGTGGCGAATTGACCTGTTGTAATTTTTGTTTTATAGCACCAGTCCTGATATTTTTTTGATCAGACTACGTATGTGACATCATTTTATAACAGATACAATTTGAAATGTTTCAGGACAATGCATAATGTTTAGATGACATATTGAAATAATGTAAAACTTATATAGAATTCTTACGTAGAATTCTTATAAAAACTTATATAGAATTCATTGTGGAAAAAAAAACAAACAAACAAAAAAACTGTTTTATTTTCTCAACTGGCATACAAAAGATTTGAGACTGGCTACAATGGGTTAAATTTTTGTGAAGTCAATCCTGACAAGATGAACTTTTGGATACTCAAAAAGTCTTTCCCAATTATTATCCCCATCATCCAATCATTTTCTTTTGTTCCTTTCTTCACCTAACTTTATTTTACTCACCTTCCATGCCTACAAGGAGAAGATTTGATGACAGTGGCCCCCAGTGGTTGATTACTTTCTGTCGATTGATCCAATTCCAATTGAAACCAATAAAGTCCTTTATTATTCTCTTTCCTACATTCTCGGAGAGAAGTTGTTGCAGGTAAACTTTTCTGCAGGAGGGATAAAAAAAAAAACAACAAGTTATTCATTTTTTTCCTGAAGGTTGTTTCTGTTTATTATCAAGCTTCATTCTCTTATTTTCAGAATATTGGCATGAAAAAAGGCCAAGACAAAAAAAAGCCAAGAGTGCATTAAAAAAATTATTATGGGCCATGTAAAAGTTATTTTACGGGTGTTGGATTGAGTTGGGCATATATATATATATATATATATATATATATATATATATATATATATATATATATTCCTCCCATATATATATATATATATATATATATATATATAATATGGGAGGAAACCAATTTAACATTCCCTTAATGAACAAAGTTGGGGAAGTAGAGTAAGAGGCTAGGGAAGGCACGGAGGACATAGGGAGGGTAGCACAGAAGAGAGAGTGAGGGAGAGAGAGGGAGACAGAGAGAGTGAGAGGGAGGGAAAGAGTGAGAGGAGGGAAGGAGGAAGGAGAGAGGCAAGAAAAGCAAAGAACATGCAATTTATTCCAAAAGAATAAATAAATGAAAGAAAAAAAATTTCATTGCCAAATGTTGCTGTGACATCTGTCAAAGCTGACAGTAGCTATTGCAAATCCTGTTGCTGATAAAGCCTTATCAGTTCATTGTAGAAGAATGCATAGCTCATATGCGCACTCATTTACACTATTTAAAATGAATGACAAAGGAACAGAAATAGATTTGTGAAAAATTGTCACCGAGGGCAAAGCAAAAATAATGATAATAAATAATAATAATGATGATAATGATAATAAATAATAATGATAATAATGATGATAAATAATAATAATAATAAATAATAATAATGATGATAATGATAATAAATAATAATGATGAAAATAAAATAATAATAAATAAATAATGGATAATGATAATAAATAATAATGATAAAATGATGATAAATAATAATAATAATAATAAATAATAATAATAATGGTGATAAATAATAATAATGATAAAAGTTGTCAAAGTACAAGGACCTTGAAATAGAAATCGCGAAAATGTGGCATATGGGAACATCAACAATCCCTGTTGTAGTTGGAGCCCTAGGACTGGCTGGAAAAAGATTCCAGTAGACTAATTGAAGGGATTCCTGGAAGTCCATGCCTCAAGGAGATACAGAAAATTGTTCTGACAAGTACAGCCCACACCTTACGAAGGGCTTTATCTATGTAATCATTTTTTTTTTTTTTTTTTTTTCAGTGGAAAATGTCATGACGCCATTTCTAACCTTAGGTCCCTGGGCGGGACCCAGAAAGAAATGTGTAAACGCCAGAAATCAAGGAAAAAAAAAATAATAATAGTAATAATAATGATAATGATAATAATAATAATAATAATAATAATGGTGATAAATAATAATAATGACAACTGAAATCTCAAAAATGTGGCACCTGGAAACATCAACAATCCCTGTTGTAGTTAGAGCCCTCGGATTGGTTGGAAAAGATTAGTAGACTAATTGAAGGGATTCCTGGATGTCCATGCCTTGTCTCACGAGTACATCCCGCACCTTACGAAGGGCTTTATCTATGTACAATATGTGTGTGTGTGTTTTTTTTTTTTGTCAGTGGAAAGTGTCATGATGCCATTTCCAATCTTAGGTCTCGGGGCGGGACCTAGAAAGAAATGTGTACACACCAGAAATCAAAAAAAAAAAAAAAATAACATAATGATTATAATAATAATTCCTCATTGCAGAAATTCAAAGACAATGCCAATAATGCTAGCCTCTGCAAAGATTGCCTGGAAAGAAATGATGATTTGTAGAAAAAGAAAAAGATAGTGGAATTATTGGTAAAATTACAACAGAAAAGGAAAGAAGAAGAGACTTACTGAGTTCCTGTCCGCTGACATTCCTTGAGTTTATCTACAAATTCTGAGAAATTCATTTCTGTTTGTAATGTTGGAGGTTTAAAGTCTTTGTGTGTGGAGATTTTTCTAGATTCATAATATCTGAAATAGTTATTGTTTGATTGGTACACAGTAAACAAGCCATCACCAATGTGATTCTTCAAGTAGTTTAGGTCCCAATGAAGAGCAGAGCTCACCAAATTCGTTCCTGTGAGAACAACTGGTTTCTGGAAAGAAAGGAAAAAAAAAAAAAAAAAACTCATGATTAACCATATTCACAGGAATGTTCCATCATGTTTTTGTGAAATAAATGAAACTATAAGAAAAACCAAGTCTTTAGCCCAAGGCCCAACTGGCTTAACCTGTTGAACCCTGACCCCTTGATGAGTATGGTAATATAGATAGCATACAGTCTGCTTGGTTACAAAGGCTCAATGGATAACAGTTTCCAGTTTAACTCTCTTTACAGTCGATGCTCGAACATCACAAAAAAAATCTTTTAAATCATCTGAAAATCAACATGATGGCCTTTTAACTTTGTTATCATTTATAGTTTTCCGTAGCAGAATAAAGGAATTATTTACATTATTCAGACTATTGTTCTCATCTTTGTCGCCATATTTATTACAACGTTTCGGCTATTGTACGCTCTGCCTTCTTCAGATGGTTGGAATGTCGAACTTAACCCTTTATTTTGTTCACTGGGGTAGACTGTTCCAGTTCCATGTGTCATGTTTAATGGATGTCAGTTATCTCCTGTTAATTTCCCTCTGAAAGTTCTCCACTGCCTTAACCGGGTATTGAACTCACACTCTTTGGGTCCTGTCACTGAATCTAACCAATGCCTTTACCACTGTGCCATGTGTCCTTGAGGAAATAAAGGGTTCAGTTCAACATTCCAACCACCTGAAGAAGGCAGGAGCGTACAACGACCGAAACATTGTAATAAATGTCAACAAAAATGAGGACAATAGTCCGAATAATGTAAATAGTGTACATAATACCTCATCTCAGAAATATAGACAGATACTGAAAGGCTGAAACGTTGTGATAAATATGGCAACAAAGATGAGGACAATAGTCCGAATAATGTAAATAGTGTACATAATACTTCATCTCAGAAATATAGACAGATACTGAAAGGCTGAAACGTTGTGATAAATATGGCAACAAAGATGAGGACAATAGTCCGAATAATGTAAATAGTGTACATAATACCTCATCTCAGAAATATAGACAGATACTGAAAGGCCGAAACGTTGTGATAAATATGGCAACAACGATGAGGACAATAGTCCGAATAATGTAAATAATGTACATAATATCTCATGTCAGAAATATAGACAGATACAGAATAAAGGCACCATTAAAATTAATTTTAAACTGCTAAATATCAAAATACTCTTTTTAACTTTCATCACTGATTCATTTTCTACAGTTTATTAACCCTTTCTAGGTTATTTAAAGCCAGAAAATGTTTTTAGATTGTGAGAATTCTTTTTTTTTCTTGAATATAATAATAGTTTAGTGATACAAGTCTTACTAATTAACCCATAGCTGGAGGGAGAAATGGTGGATTCATAACTAATCAGAATTTGATAAACAAACAAGAAATTAAAATGTGGCTACAAAGTGGGGAATCAATTTTATACTACAATCAATTTATAAACTGATCCCTCACTTTGTGGACAAGGTAGTTTCTATAGCTTTATATTCAAGAGAATGTAAATAAAAGACAGGCATTTGTAGCTAATCAGTTTTTTTTTCTTTCTTTTTTTTAGTTTTTTTTTTAAGCGTTTCACCCCAAGCAAGGCAGTGAAGTCACTAGGACGCAAGGGGTTACAGAAGATTTGGAGCAAGATCAGATAGGAGTGATAGAGGAAAGGATGAGGAGAAGGAGAGTGGATAGATCAAGGCAACTGGAGATGTCGATTGACATTACATTTGAAGTATTTTATTAATTGATCCACTCATTCATTTTCTACAGTTTATCAACCCTTTCCAGGTTATTTAAAGCCAGAAAATATTTTTAGATTGTAAGAATTTTTTTTGAGGTAATAATGATTTAGTAAAACAATTCTTACTAATAATAGCTGGGGGAAAAGAGGTGGATTCATACCTTTCCCAAGGTTATTTGCACATATAACTTAACATTTATAACTGCTAATAGTGTAATAAAAACACCATTAAAACATTAGGTTGATTAAGAATTTCTTTATTTTTTTTTTTTTTTTTGAAACCAGTTGTAATTATATGTAGCAGTTAGGACAACTTTTGGAATAGACTAAAATTCCTGAATTTTGGCAGCGTTATGCAGTGGATTTAAAGGGATAATGTCGTTCTGCTTGATGAGAATACCAAATTGCAAACAAAAATTAAAATATGGAACTTTTGGTCTGTTTTAACCCCACTATTACTTTGCATTTTTTTGAATGCTGCAAAATACTTTGATATGTAGGTAGTTTTGGTAATGAAAACCAATTTATCTGAAAATTATTGAAGATCTGCCTGATTAGTGGCAACAAAAATCGTTTTAATAATGAGGTATATCAATGTTTGATACACGTTTTATTTCGATACATGACTGACGAGGCAGATTTTTTTGTTAGGTTGCCATTTCTTTCTGCAGTAGACCAGTGGCCATTCAAGCTATAGAACCCAGTCTGTCCTGTATTTACCCATAGCTATTGAAAGAAAGGAAATACTTTTCCCAAGGGTATTAACAATGAATGCAATTGATTGACTAATTCAAAATCAACTTTGAAAAATGTCAATCCAACTATCCAACACTCCATGGTGCCTACCCAATGTAATAATAATAATAAATAATTGGCCATTTTTTTAATGAGGATACTCATTTACTAGAAATTTTCTAATCCCTATTGCAGACTCTTGATCAGGTTTTTTACCCACAGAGCCAATATTTTTTATACTAACTATGCTTGCAGACCTTAAATTTTTTGGGAGAATAATGTTATCTAGTGATCAACAATCTGATCAAATTAAGCACATCAAATCCTCGGTTACAATGACTTGTGACTTTTTATCAATATAAATCAAATGTCCCCCCGAACCCAAGGCTTGGGTCAAACCCTTAAAAGTAGCTTACCAAAGGTATTCACGCTGTGAATATCCATTAATAGCATCAAAAAGTCTCCTTCCTGACAAATCAACTGCTTTCACTTTGCTCGTATTGCTGAAGAGGGGAGGTCATGAAGGGAATTTGAGGTTTTTTTAATTTGGGTTTTAGTTCATGCTTTTTGTCAATTATTCATTCAGGTTCTTTTTAACCAAAACTTGACAGAAAAAATATAATTTTCTTGCTTTGTTTATTAAAGCAAAATTAGTTCTTACCATTAGGGCCTAATTTTTATTTTTTTTGACATTTACTGATAATTTTTTTTTTTTTCATTCAAAGGAAGCACTTCAGTTTTGTTTATCTCTTGTGTGTGTGTGTTTTCTCATCATTTATTAAAAGCTGCTACTATTGATGAGAAAGTAATATATTTATTTATTTATTCATTTCAAGAAAGGAATTGCTTTAAGAATAAATATAATAGAATTCAATTTTTTTTAGTATCGTCCCAGTATCATGCTAAGGAAATGTTACCAATTGCACAAGAGCCAGAATTAAAGTCTCATCACCAACAGGGCTGCAAAGAGTTGATAAGCAAACTGGAATAAACAGATTGAATCCAAACTCCAGCAAGGAAAGTTTGCATTCATTTTTTCAATAATTTGGTATGGTTCCACTCATCTTAGCTGGCATTTGTACACGACCATTCACTCCTCTGCCACATTGTGTTTTTAATCTCAGAGGGTGAGAAGATCGTTAATGACATGAACTTGGAGTGAAAATGGTTCGATCATTTGGGAGCTAGACAAAAAGAAACAAGAATCGTTTGGAATAAAGAATTAAAAATGCAATGATTTGGTTTATATCTGATTAGTTCTCTACAGCAGTTTTAATCCTTCCCATTTGTTGTTATAATCAAATGACACTGGGATCCCCTTCAGAGTCTGCAACTTGTTTTAGTAGTAACTAATTACTTCTTCATGTCTTTTTTCTTTGGTCATTTGGCCTTGTCACAATGCAGATTCTGGTGATGTATCTCTCTGTTTCTGAGTCCAAAATCTCCAGCTTACATGGAATCCTGCATCCAGCAATGGTGGGCTTGACTAGGATCTGGGTTCATTTGTCTTCTACCCTAAGTATCAACCTTTTCCAAATTTGCATCTAGAAAAATACATTTACTCAAGTGGTTTTTCAAATTTGGGTGTGTCCAGCCCTCGTTTGAGAGGGGTCAGAGGAATCAAGCTTTTGTTTAAATTACTCTCTTTACATTTTTAAAATTCTCACTTCTATATTAAAATGCTAATTTTCTTTCTCATTTTTCTTAACAGCCAACCTAACTTCCTGGGATTTGTGGAAACCAACCTGGTGCAGCAGAAAACAAAAGGGTTTTCAGTCATTAATCCTTATTATCTATCAGCTTGTTTCATACTGGGATCCCCTGAATCGGATCAAACCATTCAAGAATTTGAATTGGAGAAAGAAAAATCTATTTTCACTCTCTATTTTAACCCTAGAACACTAACCATAAATTAAAGTTACACCACTACTAACCATCGGTATATCATACCCGATTTAAAAAAAAAAAACCCAAACTTTATTTGAAATATTTTACATGCAGGCACTTCAAACTTTGTACTTTGAGTTAATATTAATGCGAACTGAAAAACATTATTTGGGTAATAAAATCAGGTACTGAAAATAGTAATTAAAAATAGGAAAATTTGCACTGGGTACTATATACCCATGGTTAGTGTTCTAGGGTTAAAATGAAAGTTTGTTTTCTCTTGTTTTATGATTGACTAGATCACACAGCCTTCCTGCCGCGGGTCATTTCAAAATAGTAATTAATTTTTCCTTAACATTTGTCCCCAAAGAAATCTGAATTAATATTTGGATATAAAAGAATGTTGCCAAAATTCTCTTTTCTTCTGGGTGGTTGATTTGAAACATATGCTTTTATTT